AGCTTTGCCGGGAAGAACGAGAACTGCTTCCTTGGTTGTTGGGCCTGCTGGGAGACCCTGGGGCTCCAGGGAGTGGTTCTCGGAGCTTGGGAGGGTCCCGGCAGCTGTGGGGCCAGTATTGGAGTCTCTTCTGGGCAGCATGTGCCCAGAACCTTGGTCAGATACTGGGTCCCTGGGAAGACGTTCAGAAGGCTGTGCAGCAGCTGAGAGGGGCACTGGATCAGGGTAAGTAACTAGGGAGAAGTAATGTTTAAAAGTATTGGAGAGAGGAAGGCCTGTTTCTTAGTTGACTGGTTAGCCTGTCTTCAAGAGTGACTGAGGGGGGTGGGTGACAGCTATAACCTTTCCTTTCTCCTTCCTGAGAGGGTCTTGAAGGCCACAGTCCCCTTTTCTCTGATGTCACTACCTGAGGGAGAAAGGTAGTGCTGGATGGGGGAGGATCTATTTTCCATTTGTATGATTTATATGAGACCTGGGTGCACATGGCCACCTCCACCCTCTTCCCACAGCATCCCTGCCACAGGAATGTGAGAAGGAGCTGACTTCTCTGTGCCACTATCTGCTCCGACAGGCCCTGACCCGGATATGGGACCAAGGTGAGCTGAGGGAGGTGGTAGTATCGAGCCCTAAGGCAATGAGATCATCCATATTCCAACACTGCCCCTTTGCTTCCTCTGTCCTAGGTTTCTGCCGAGCCCTGGGATCTGCTCGTGGAAACCATGGGATTATGCCTGTGTGTTGGGATGGCACTCTCTGCATGCGTACTGCTGACCTCTTCCAACAACTCTTTCCTCCACTCACCTCTGCCCTTCAAGAACAAGGGTCAGCTTTTTGCCAGTCTCTAGGTGAGGGCAGGGCATCTGGAGTTGATGGGATGCCAGGCCTCTCTAAGTGCCAATCTTAGGGCTACCCTTCTCTGATATTTTGCCTTTTTCATCCTCAGGGTCAGGGCCATCACCCCTAGCCCTTGGGCTTTGCACGCTTCAGGCTGCCACCCTCTGGTTTCTTAGCAAATATCAGCAGCATCTGGCCTTGTGGGCCCCCAGACCTCTTCTGCTGCTGACCCAAAGGGAACTGCCTGTGAGTATCTCCTGTTCAGGGCAAGGAGGGGAGAAGGGACTGCTGTGGTCTCTTTGTGAGACCTGAGGAAGCAAAGAATGTGTATGTATGTTACCAAAGGGAATGTCTTTGTGAAGCCTTGGTGGGGAGTGGTGGTGCAAGCGACTTTGAGGATCTGAGCATGTGAGAGTGTCACCATTTGTAAGTAGTGTTGATCTAGGGAAGGGGGAATCTTAGAATTGAGAGTGATTTTGAAAGAGTATGACAAAGGAGATTTTCCTGCGTTTGTGTGAGACCTAAGATTGTTAAAAGGGGGAATCTGTGAGTATCTCCCAAAGAAAGTTACTCAAAGTATGAGGATGGGTAGATTGTGATAGGGACTGTGAACTGTCAGGCAGGTGAACTGGAGATCTAGTCTGGACTCTAATCTTTGTGCTTCCTCCAAAGCTTCTGCTCTGTGAGGCAGAGGCCCTGGCAGCCTTGGTTTCTGAAGGGGCATCTGTCCTGGAACTGGACTGGCAGCTGGGCAAAGAGATTCAGAGACTGACAGCTCAGATCCAGGTGAGAACTAAAGAGTGATTGGGAGAAAGGGGGATGTCATTGTGAAAACAGTTGCATCTTTGAAGACTGGAATGGGACTGCCTGAATGGTTAGGATTCTTCTTGATCTACCTTATGTTGGTAAATTCCTCCTCCATGGTTCTTTATATCCCAGTGGTGCTGAGTATAGAGCAGATGGCTGAATGGGAAAATAATGTCCTGTCAAGGACAAAATGAGGGAGCCAGAGGGTAGCTGGTTTTTGTTTTGTTTTGTTTTTTTGAAAAGATGATCCTCATTAAGGGACTGTATCTAAGACAATACTAGGGTTGTAGAAGCTTAGAGCTAGAAAGAATTTTATAGGTGGGAAAACTGAGGTGCCTGGAGAAAGGACTTATCCAAGGTCCTTTAGCCAGTGAGTGGTAGTGCTGTGACTGGAACCCAGATCTCCTGCCCATCCGTCCAGTATTTTTTAGGTCACACTCCATTGCCAGACAGGGATTTGGAGATGGCTAGACTGGAGCTTGTAAGAGAAGGCAGGACTGGGATTTCTTTCCATAGAGGATGGAAGCAAGGGGAGGAGTTAGACGAGACTAGACAGCTGAGAGCAAAGCCTTCCATTTTATCTGCATGTGGAGAGCACAAAGAACAGAGGCAGCCCAGGAGAGGAGAGGGAGGCTGGGAACGGGAGGGCCCTGGGCAGGGCCACCAAGAGGCTGCAGGAGAGGAGCACGGTTTGGGGACGGGACAGTATTTGAGAACAGCATCTATGTTTCTGGCCCACAGCTTAAAACAGAAGAAAATAAACTCTTGCTACAGACAGTCTACTACTTAATGACAGCTGGCAAAAAGAAGAGTTGCTTGGAGTCTCTCTGGTCGTTTACATTAGTGTCTTGTCCACATAGAGACAAGTTCATATGTATACACTCAAGTTCTTTACTTCTCCCCGACTTCTTCATGAGGTCACTGTTTCTCAGGAATCCCATCCATTTATGTTCCTCACTCTGCCATCCATTTTCCAACCAACGGGCACCCACTTTGTTGCCAGTTCTCCTACTATAAGAAAGTATTGGGCACGTATACAAAGTCAGTATTTGGGATCTTTCTGTCATTGGCTGCATCAAGATATGTGCTCCGTGATGGAGAATCCGTGGATCCAAGGGGAGGGACGGCTTCACTGATTACTTCTCATAGAATTCTGATTGTCTCTAGAATGTCTGGACTGATTCAAAGCTCTCCTGGCTGTCTTAGTGTGCCCTAAGCCTGATAATCTCCCTAGTCCTTTTACCACAGAGCGTTCCTGCCTTTTATCCTCTCTATCACTTCGATAGCCAGGAGGCTAATTTACTTTTTTAAAATTTTTAATTACTAAAGCATTAAAAATAAGGTCATAAAAAAAAATTAAGGTCATGGATAGTTTGCGCTTATTCATGTCTTGGCTGTGTGACCCTGGATGTGTAACTCTGGCAAAGAACAAATTGCCTAGTCTACATTTGGCACCAAGTTCCTTAACCATACACGATGAAATCACAGGTCCTGTTCACCCTACTCCCCACTCCACCTAAAAAAGGGAGAAAGAACCCTGTGGTCCTGGAGAAGGGAGCTGGGAAGGGTGCTGTAGAGCACATCTGGGGGATGTTAGCAAGGTGGAGGGTGACCAGGATTGTGAAGCCACTAAAGATACTGACGTCCTATGATCAGTTGAAGGATGGGAGTGATTAGTGAAGGGAAAGGTCGATTTATTAAATGCCTGCTTGTGCCAGGCATTGTACTATGTGCTTTACAGTTACTCCTTTAATCCTCACAACAACCCTGCAAGGGGGGGGGGGGTGCTATTATACAGTATAGGAAACTGAGGCAAACAGGCTAACGTGGTAGCCCAGGGTCACAGAGCTAGTACGTGTTAGAGGCCCGATTTGCACTTCACAGGTCACGTCAGAGAAGGGTTAGCTTTTTCTGCTTGGCACTAGAAGGGAGAACTAGGCACAAGGAGTGGTGCTCCAGGGTGCCCTGGAGGGGATGGGGTCTCCTCCCTGGAGGTCTTCAACTGGAGGCCACTGGTTTGGAAAGGGGAAACTGTGTCAGATCTTTTAGGCCCCTTCCAGCCTAGTCATTACAACCTTTAGGCTTCACCTCTTTCCACCCTCTAGGGCAAAGAAAGGGAAGCACAGCTGTCTGAGATTGAGCTGGGGCAGAGCCCACACAAACCCTTTTCCCTCACCCTCCCAGATCCTGCCTGAGGAGTCTCTGTGTGTCTTCTCCCGAGAATGTGGACGACAAGCAGCCAAGGGCTTCCAGCTCCATATGCCCCAGGGTCGTCACTGGAGGCTCAGGCTCCGATCTGGTAACTCCTCCCCCTGGGGCCTAGAATTCCCTCAACCAGTCTTCCAATAAGCCTTGTAACTCCCCCGTCATTCTTTTCTGTCCCTGGCCTAACCTTTGTCCCTGTGGCCTTTTCTCCCTATCCCACTTCAGTCTCCATGGTTCTCTTCCCCACCCAAAATCATACAAAGGGACTGCTGAGCTTCAGTTTCTGCCCTCCCCCCTTCCCCAGAACTCCCCAGCATCCCCAGTGACTATGCAGAGTTGGTCGTGGGAGCTGTTCTGGGGCCTGTGCTGCAGGGGGTCCAGGGATTGCCCCCCCAGGCCCAAGGGCCCCCCCTCACACAGGCCTTGACTGCACTTCTTGACGCCTGGCTCAACCACATTCTCACTCAGAAGATCCGGTTCAGGTAGGCCTGGGATGGGAGAGGGTAGGGAATAGCTGTGGAAAGTCCAGGGGTGGAAGAAAGGAGATGGGCTAGGAAGAGAAAGAGTTGGGTCTAGGTACTGACCTTGCTCTGGCCCTCAGCCTGCAGGGAGCACTGCAGCTGAAGCAGGATTTTGCAGTGGTTCGGGGTCTGCTAGAAGAGGAGCAGTGGGGTTTGGCCCCTGAACTTCGTCAGGCTTTGCTCACACTCAGCGTCTTCCAGCGGGCAGATGGGGCCCTGTTGTGTCTGCTGCAGCAGCCAGTGCCTGGGAGCCGTACCTACAGAGGGCCCCCATGCTGTTGTGAGTGTTTCTTACTACTACCTTCAGGCCACAGTATTTATTCCACATAAGCATACACAGTGACCCACTTGCTACCCCAGGACAAATAACCCATTCTCAGCCTCTGTCTTACTTGTACCTATGGCCTCTGGATCCATCAAGCTGTTTCCTAGCTCCCTGTTGCGTACACGAAAACTTGCCGGTCACCCCATACTCATTTACTAACCTGTTCTTCACCCTACCCCTAACCTCACTAGGTTCCTGTAACAAGATCCAGACTCCTGAACTACCCAGTAGCAGCCTAAACAGCCTAGAGAACCTAGAACCACCTCCCCTGCATCCTGGGGTCACTCTTGTTCAAACGGCTCAGCTTCTCAGCACTCTTCGGGGTGGAGGACCCAGCCCCGAGGCCTACCTGGCAGGCAGCCAGCAGGCCTGGCTGGCCCTTCGGCAGCACCGATCCTCGAGATGGCATCTACCTGGCTTTCTTTGCATGCGAACTAGTCCTGAACCCTGAAAACAGAATATGGAAAATGGGAAAATAGAGAGGCCAGAACAATAAATCCGAAGGAGCCTAGAAATCTTTGACACTGGAATCTGAACCAAGTCCAGAGGAGCTTAGAACCTGGAACTAGGGGAAGCATGGAGCCAAGTCTGGACTCAAAGTAGAGAAGCATCTAGAGGAGCCCACTGCCCAGAATCAACAGGAGCCCAGGGTCTATATCGAGAGCCTAGAACCCAAAGGTGCCCAAGGTTTGAGAACCAGCTACCAAAAACACTGGGCCCTTGAGCTACAAATCCAAAGAAATTTGAGCTCATGTGGACCTAAACATTGAGAACCTCATGCCCTAGACAAGTAACTGCAGCAACAGAAGGGGAGGAACCAGAAAATTCTGCATATGTAAGTGCCAAGAGCTGCCCTCATTTTTCAGCGCTTTGCCCCAACACCTCAGGGCTGATGTGTTCTTTCTGAACTTGAACCAGCCCTCTTCTCTTTGCCACAAACAAGGTACTATTTTCACATGTCAGGAGACATCAGAAAGTGGTACAGTTGTGCAAGGAACAGTGATACGGGTTTGGGCAGGGGAAAGGTAGGTTTGATTCAGGTTCTGGGCCAGGTTTAATGCCCAGCTGAAGTTTGGACTTTGTCCCACAGATCTGGAAAAATCTGAGCAGAGGCTTAAAGATGAATCTGGCAGCATCTCCCGGATGGTGAACAGTGCAGACAAGAAGAGTGATTGCCACTGTAAAGGTGATGAGAATTTGTACAGAAGTTGGTGGCCAAGCGGTGGAAAGGAGGAAGGTACTAGTTTCAAGCCTGACCTGGGGGTAGGTAAATGGTGCCAGGGATAAACTAGGAAGAGGTAGAGGAGCACGAGAAAACAACGAACTTGGTTTCAGACACAGATGTAAGACCACTAGAGATGGTAGAAGGCTGGCACGGCCGATGCCAGGAGAGCGGGCCAGAAGCACTTCCTCATGTGGCTGCAGTGGGGGGCGGGAGGAAGGCGCATTCAAGGCCGATTTGCCAGCCCCGCCCTCTTGCGGGCTCTGGGTGCGGACTGCATTTCCCAGCATGCTTCGGCCACTGCAGTTCTCGCGGGCGCCATGGCGGGGGCTGCGGGGAGGAAGCTGGGGCTGCAGGCGGTTAAGCGAGTGTTGGTTCGTTTCTGTCCTTTTGAAAGCAACGTGGAGGCGACGAGGTAACAGGATGCTCTCGATCCCTGCCCTGCCCGCTTCCCCCGGGTCCCCTCTCACGCCCTCTGCTTTTTCTTCCTCCCGATCGCAGGAAGTTCCTCCAGGCTGTGAGCAGCGAGAAGGTGCGCGCCTCCAACCTGAATTGCACGGTGCAAGTGGACGTGCGGCACGACGGCTCCGAGCCCTGCGTTGACGTACTTTTCGGTGCGTTCGAGCCCCGGCACCCGCTGCCCGGCACCCTCTCCCCGTTTAATCCCCCCACTTCACCGCCGTTTTTCTCTCTCCAGGAGACGGAGACCGGCTGATCCTTCGCGGCGCCCACCTCACGGTGCAAGAGATGTTCGCAGCCTTCGATTCCCGAGTCCAGGCCAAGAGCCGTACCTCTCCCGGGGAGAAGGGTTAAGGGCCTTGGCCTCCGGGAGGATGGGGGCAGGGGCTAGGGATGGAGTAAATAAAAGCAAGTCGTTACGGTCTCTGCCTGTTATCTGTGTCTTTCCGGGCTCCGAAAGAGGGAGGGCAAGGACACTACTGACTCGAGAAACGCAGCACGTTAGCCGGTGGGCGGGGTGCACACCACGTCCGCTTGCGTAGGCCCACAGACTTCCGGTCTAGGTGGCTGCCGGTGTGTGGCGGTCTTCTGACCCATCTGGTGGCCTCGGCGCCCAGGATGGCACGGGGCGAGCGGAAGCGCCGGGCAGGACCTCTCGCAGACGCCCCCGGGCCGCGAGCTCCGGACAAGGCGGGCCGTGGCGGTGCGGGCAGGAGGCGGGAGGGCCGGGTTGGGGTAGGGCCGGCCGCTGGGCCCCGGCGGCCTGGGGGTCGTGGCGCCGGGGACCAGGGACCGGGGTCTGCGGCGCTGGTCGCCCTGGGCCTGGCGCTGGCGCTGGGCCTGGGCCTGGGCTTGTCGTGGCGCGGGATCCTGGCGTGGCAGCGGGCGAGGCGCGCCGTGACCCTGCACCCGGCGCCGCTCGCGCTGCCGCCCAACAGCTCCAGCGCCGCGGCCTCCCCGGATCTCTTCTGGGGCACCTACCGACCCCATGTCTACTTTGGCATGAAGACCCGCAGCCCGAGAGCGCCGGTCACCGGTAACCGTGGGAGAGACCTGGCGGGCAGGAGGACAACGTGGTGGTGGGGGGGCGGAGGAGGAGGAGGACTGGCCGCTGACCCCGCCCGACCCTCCCGGTCCCCCCTCCCCCAGGCCTGATGTGGTTGCAGCAGGGGGCTACCCCGGGAACGCTGGGCCAGCTCCGGCACACGTGCGAGCAGGGCGATGGCGTGGGCCCCTACGGCTGGGAGCTGCACGACGGGGTCAGCTTCGGGAGGCAGCGGCTGCAGGACGGGCCCCTCTTGCTCACCACCGAGTTTGTGAAGAGGCCCGGGGGTAGCCACGGCGGAGAATGGAGCTGGAGGATCACGGCTGAGCCTCAGGTCAGGCCCTTCAGAACCCAGCCAGAGACTCAGGGCTTCACAGGTTTAGAGCAGGAAAGGGCTGGCAGGTGGGATTTCAGATTCTAGCACTAGGTAACCTATATGTCCTGGTTTCTCTTGCATCCCTTTTCCCTGACTCCCCCCACCACTGCCACCAACACAACATCACGCTTTGGCTGTTTAACATAAGGTTTTCAGGCTTGGGGTCCTTGTAGATATCACAACCAGGGGGATGGGTGCTGTGATACATTTTAACCAGTGTTTGATGACATCTGTTCCCGATTTTCACCCTTTCAGTCCCTAGAGGGCTCTGTGTCTCCTCTGCTCTCTTTGTTCTTCTATGTGGCCACTGATGGGCAGGGGACAGTGAGGCCAGATCCTGGGACAGGGGGGCAACTGAAAGGCATTGATGGCCACACTGAGGATCTTGGTGACTTCCGGCTCGTCCTTCTTCCTCCTACCAATGCCAAAGGGACAGCCTTGAAATATGGCAGGTAATGACAACAAAGGGTCTCCTTCTCCCTCAAGCCCTGTGGCAGCTCTTTGACTTTGACTCCAGTTTCTCCTAAGACAGTCTTTCTGGCCCCTTTAAAGACCTTGGCCCATTTCTCTATTGTGTCCTTTCCTGTCAACCCATGTACCTACTAACCTTCCCCTCATACTTTTTCCTTGTCCCATTATCCTATTTAGTTTCTCTTCTTGCCAACTGACTTGTATGCTCTTGTCTTTCATAGCTACAATGTCCTCTGGATGCCCAGCCCAGGGCTGCAGTTGTTGACTGAAGCTGTGAAGAGCCGTCTAAATCGATGGTTCCAGCACCGGCCCCCTGGGGGTTCCCCAGAACGATACCTGGGCCTCCCTGTGTCGTCTCAGTGGGAAGGGGAAAACTCTCAATCAGGCCACACAGTGCGAGGACAGGTTGTGGTCCAGCAGCTAACATTAAAGATTCCCTTCCGAGTTGAGCTGGTTTTTGAATCAGGAAGTATGGGCTCGGGGGAATCTCGCCCTGGAGGTCGTCTGGCTGGGTCGATGTTGTCCCAGGCCTTGGATACCCATGCCGCAGCCTTCACTCACCGATTTGAGGAGACCTTCAGGCTGGGAGCACGAGGCCTGAGTTCAGGAGAGCAGGCGCTGGGCCGAGCAGCCCTAAGTGGGCTGTTGGGGGGCATTGGGTATTTCTATGGACAGGGCCTGGTGTTACCAGATCCTGGGGATGAAGGGCCTGAGGAGCCAGCCACAGCCCCATCCCTTTTCCCTCCAGCCCCACTGTTCACAGCTGTCCCCTCAAGATCCTTCTTCCCTCGTGGCTTTCTGTGGGATGAAGGTTTCCACCAGCTTGTGGTGCATCAGTGGGAGCCACGTTTGACTCGGGAGGCCCTGGGCCACTGGCTTGGGCTACTTAATGCTGATGGCTGGATTGGGCGAGAGCAGGTGCTGGGAGATGAGGCCAGGGCCCGTGTGCCCCCGCCTTTCCTGGTGCAGAGGGCAGCCCATGCCAACCCCCCATCCCTTTTGCTGCCTGTGATGCGCATGCTGGATGGTGGAGACACTGCTGACTTGGACTTCTTACGTACAGCTTTCCCCCGCCTCCAGGCCTGGTTTTCTTGGCTCCGACAAAGCCAGGCAGGCCCGCTCCCTCTGTCCTACCGCTGGCGAGGACGGGACCAGGCTGCTGCTGGTCTGCTGAACCCTAAGACGTTGCCCTCAGGTCTGGATGACTATCCTCGAGCTTCACACCCGTCACCAGATGAGCGGCATTTGGACCTGCGCTGCTGGGTGGCTTTTGGTGCCAGTGTGTTGACCCAGCTGGCACAAAAGCTTGGTGAGACCCGGGCAGAGACTGAGTTGGCTGATCTTGCAGCCAAATTGAGGGATGAGAATGGTCTGGACTCCTTGCATTGGGCCCCTGAGTTGGGTGCCTTTGCTGATTTTGGGAATCATACTGGAGCTGTCCGCCTTGCAAGGGGTCCACAGGGGCTGGTGCGAGTGGTAGGGCGTCCTCCTCCCCACCTGCAGTATGTTAATGCATTGGGGTATGTCAGTCTCTTTCCACTGCTCCTCAGACTGCTGAGCCCTGACTCTCCGCACCTGGGACCCCTGCTGGACCTGCTGGCAGACAGCAGACAATTATGGAGTCCTTTTGGTTTGCGATCATTGTCTGCCTCCAGCCCTCTCTATGGACAGCGAAATTCAGAGCATGACCCACCATACTGGCGAGGGGCTGTGTGGTTCAATGTCAACTATTTAGCACTGGGTGCGCTCGATCACTATGGGCACCTAGACGGCCCCCACCAAGCCCATGCTTCTCAACTCCACACCCAACTTCGAACCAACCTTGTGGGAAATGTGTGGCGCCAGTACCGGGATACAGGTTTTTTATGGGAACAGTACAGTGATCAAGATGGTCATGGCATGGGCTCCCGGCCATTTCATGGCTGGACCAGTCTTGTGCTCCTTGCTATGGCCGAGGACTACTGATCCCCCATCCTCCAAACACCCCTTCCCATGTTGACTCAGGACCAACTCACTGGCCAGCCTTCCCAAAATCACAGCCACCCATCCTGGCCTTGCTAGGAACTGACTAATCCACCATTCCTTTAGTCCCTCTTTGCTGCTGCTGGGGATCAAGAGCCTCATGTGTGGTGCAGGGGAGGGAGACGGGGGGGGGGGGGGGGGGGCGGGTTCCTCTGTTCCAAAGCTCCTGGTCCCACGCCTGGAACTCTTCATCTCAGGTGTTGCCCCACTCATCTCCAGTAGTCTTGGTGGCAGGTGGTGGTAAAGTCAAGAGTTTATTTTTCTAAAATAAAAGTTGCCTTCCTGTGACTTCTGGTCAATTAGGATCCCCTATTTTCTTCTAAACTCCCCTCATTTGAATCTTTTGCTGCCTTTAACCCAAAGCTACAAATAATTCAAATTCACACCTGGCTAGTTAAATCTCTTTAATAAGGAAACCTGAGGTGTTGAGTATGTGTATGGGACGGCAACCACCACTCTTTTCCTATATGTAATTGCCACAGCCAGAATCCCTTCCCCCAGGGCCCAGACTTTCCTAACCCCTTTCTGGCTGACGCCATCAGGGATGAGTGACCCAAGTTCCAGGACCTCACAGAGCACAGCTCTGCCTGGGCCCAGGCCCTTCCGAGGAGACTGGGAATTCGCAGGGAACAGGATCGGCAAGGGCTGAATTTATGGAACAGACACTGCTACCCTGGAGTGGGAGTGGCTCTGCCCACCCCAGTTTGGCAGGACCCTGGTCAACTAAACCATGGCAGGTGCCAGGACACAGCTCAATTCCTGAATCCCCAGTCAGCCTTCGATGGCGGCAGGACCGATTTGGGCATGCTGGACTCTCTCCTTCCCTCACATCCCCAGGCTGACCCTGGGCAACCACTCCAGCCTCACTCTCCCATTCTACCCCCTGTGGGTGGGTCCTGGAAGAGACTCCTACAGGACCAGGTGGGGAGGGGGGACAGCTGGAGGCACAGGAACAGCTGGTGCAGTCACTGGTGCTGGGTGATGGGGGCCCAGGGGCCACGCTGTATGGGGGAGGTGGAGTTCCAGGGCGGCAAGCTACATCCTCATAGGCAGGAAGCTTGAAAGAGGTGAGAACACCTGAAAAAGAATAGATAAGTCAGGGGCCATGAGTGATTTGATATGCAGGGAATGGGAGGTGGTCAGTGCCTAGGCCAAGTGGGATAAGGTTGCATAAGGAAACTTGGAGTGTTTTACCCTCTTGGAAACCCTAAGGTCAGTGGCTTACGTAAGTCAAGCATGGAGCCCCCTGAGCCAGGGACACTTCCATGGTAGGCTCCATGATAGGCTAACAGGTTGATCTCACGCTGGCGTTGTTGCTGCTGCAGGCGGAGTTTGGCTCTACGATGGCGGAAGGCACAGCAGCAGCTAAAGAGGATGAGGATGGTCCAAAGCAGCCAGAACCCTGTTGGGATGAGGGGTGAGGGGCAATGCATAAGCTTCAGAGAATGACCCAAGAGAGCTGGAGAAACTAGGCGTTCCTAGGACAGGAGGTGAAGTGGGAATGGACGGGTGGGGGAAGAGGAGTAATCCCTGTGGAATCCCAGGCTGTCCCTGGGACAATAAAGGACAATTATCCTTTGTTGGGAAGGGGATGGGAGGCTCCCTGGGACACTCACACCAGAGCTCATAGTAGTAGGTGCAGCAGCCAGTTTCTCCACAACAGTGGCCACTCTCACAGACATAGGGCTGATTGTTCACTCCCGGGCACAGCTCTCTAAGCTAGGAGGAGGAAATGGAGTCAGAGGAAACTACAGTGGGGGGGGGTGAAGGAGAGGGCACTCAACTGTAACAAAGAACAGAGATAAGACTTGTCTCATCACTAGGGAGCAGAACTAAGCAAGGAGGAAAAACTGCACAAGCCACATTTCCTTGGACATAAGTGAAGAACTTTTAATTATTAGAGCTGTCCAGCAGTGAAAGCCTCGATAAGTGAGCTTCATGTCAACAAGAGAAAGGAGCTCCAGCGTCTGTAGCATAGCTCCAGAGACTCCCCAGGCTTCCCGCCACATTGAGCTCCCTCTACCTCCTGCCGCGAGCCTGGGCAGGCCGTACAAGCCCCCCGAAGATGACTGGACTGAGTCCCCCAGGTGGGATCCCCAAGAAACGCCCATCACCCTCCCCATGCCCTGAAACCAAATGGGATACAAAGACATAGAAGCTAGATGGGCCACACCTATCGCGACACCCAACGTGTTTCCCAATGAGCAAAGAAAAAGGTACTTCCAGGTATCCTCAGTCCCCGTAAGGAGCCAGGTGAAAGAGGACGGGATCGCCAGTCGTGACAAGTTACTGGCCTGTCGCGACAGCAGACATTAGCTTCACGATACCTGCCGCACCCGGAGAGCCCCCCAAGTTTCGCGACTGCCGTTCCCGGAACCGGCCCGCTCCATGCCGCTGCCTACAGGCCCGGGCAGGGTGCCACCTCCTCCGCCGGCCAGCCTGCCACTGCTTTCCGGGCCGCAACCACCACAGCCCCGGCCCAGACCATAGCTGCTACCGCCGCCATCGCTATCCGGGCTCACAGCTACCGAGCTTCGGAGCCTCTCAGCCAATCAGCAACGGAGTTGCGTCAGATCGCCACCAATCAGGGGCTGCTTCTCGAAACTCGACCAATGGAGACAGCTTTCTAAGGCACTTCCGGAGACCAATGCGCTGCCGCGTCTCCACCATTCACCCAGACAACAGGAGCCCAGAGACAAAGAGTGAAGAAGCAATAGCCCAAAGACTATGATCAGCAGCACCAACAACCAATGGGAGGCATTAGTCCCGCCTCGTGGGAACCAAGCCCACCAACTAACGTTCTGAGCCTCAAGAGAAGGCCGCTTTTTCGGAGAGCAGTCTCGAAGGATTGGCTGAGCTTCGCTCAGCAACATGCGCAGGAGGTGGGGAAAAGGAGAGCCCGAAGCGGATGTCGGGGGAAGACGGAGACACCGAGGAGCAGGGGTGAGGGAGGGGGAAGGGCGGGAGTCCTCAGGTAGCCACTAGGGGGCCCGGCGGGGCAGCCCCCGCGCCCTCGGGCAGGCCGAGCAGCAGCTGCAGGTTGATGCGGTAGCACTGCAGGCTGCAGAGCGGCTGGCCCGTGCGCGAGCAGGCGTAGCGCCGCGGGTGGGGACAGCCCGGAACGGAGCAGCGGGGTCGAGGGCCCGGAGGCGGAGGGGGCGGCGAGGCAGGGGCCGGCGTGGGGACGCCCACGGGGAAGGACAGGGTGGCGCCGCGGACCCCACTGCTGTAGCGGACCATGGGCGTGGCGGCCGGCGGCCGGCCCCCGCGGCGCTCCCCACGCACGCCCCCCCGGCCGCCGCGGCTGCTGGGGGCTGCCGTCTTGGTGAGCCTCTCGATCGTCTGGTTCTTGTGCTCCTCGGCCCGGCGGGCGGCCTGCAGGCGCCTCTTCCGGGCCCGCTCTTCCCGCTTCATCAGCATCTCCTCCGTGAGCGCCGGCGTGCCTGTGGCCGCTGGTAGGGCGAGCATGGGCGAGGGCTGGCTGCGGGCCTTCTGCAGCAGGGCTCTCTGCGGGACACCGAGGAGGGGCCGACGGTCAGAGGCAAGCTGGCCGGGCTGCCCTGGCCCCTTCCCCGCCCCCGCTGCCGTCCCGGGAAAGCCACCACCCACCCACCTGTCGGGCTGTGAGCAGTCGCTCGTTGATCTCTTTTTTCAGGTCCCCGTTGTCGTCCAGCTCGCCCTTCTCCAGGGCGTCCAACCAGCGCTGCTCTTCTTCATCTTCTCGGCCTCCCAAGCCTCCAGCCAGCTCCCCAAGAGGGGAAGGGGACAGGTTACTGTCTTCATCTGGGGACAAAGGTTCGGGGTCACACAGGTTAGCCCAATCCAGCAAGGCCTCCGGGCAGGAGCTAATTCCCCCAGCCCCCGAATCTCTCTCTCACCCAGCCAGGCTCGGTACTGCTCAATGGGGACTCCTTCCATTGGCTCTTCTTCATTGTCCACAACCATGAGGGGAGAAGGGGACCGGGGCTCCTCAGGGATCACAGTGAAGGTGGGAACGCTGGAGAAGAAGGACCCACCCCAGAATTCCAGTGAGACACCTGGTCAACATGTTCTTTACCTTTCCCCTCTCCTTTTGTCTAAGCTAAACCTGCCTTTCCTTCTTGGCTCCTCCTATGAGCTCCTTTCCTACTCTCCACATTCAGGATACCAAATTAAGTCAACAAGTCAAATCAATGGGCATTTATTCCTTTTTAAAAAAAAAATTTTTAAGGCAATTGGGGTTAGGTGACTTGCCCAGGGTTACACAGCTAGTAAGTGTCAAGTGTTTGGTCTGAGGGAAGTCAGGTCCTCCTGACTTCAGAGCCGGTACTCTATCCACTGTGCCACCTAGCTGCCCCCAATGGGTATTTATTAAGCACCTTCTTTGCACCAGGCACGTGCTAAGTGCTAGAGATCCAAAGAAAAGCAAAAACAGTCTCTGCTTTCAAGCAGGAGCTCATATTCTAATGAATACTGTATCATCCAGCCCAGCCTCCTGCTTCCTCCCAGTGTCATCCACCTTGGGCTCATTTTGGTGCCATGGATAAAGTATCGGGCTTGGAATCAGGAAAACCCATCTTCATAAGTTCAAATCCAGCCTCAGACCCTTACTAGCTGCATGACCCTAGGCAAGTCACTTTACCCAGTTTTCCTCAGTTTCCTCATCTGTCAAATGAGCTGGGGAAGGAAATGGCAAACCACTCCAGTATCTTTGCCAAGAAAACCCCAAATGGGGTCACAAAGAGTCAGCACTGAAACAACTGAACAAAAAACAAGAGCTGGCCTCACCTCAAAAGTCAACCAGACCCTCCTCCCAGTCTGAATAAGGAGGGACCTCTTTAACTTTCCCTAACTCCTTAATCTCCCACACCAGTATGCAGTATAGCCCTACTAAGAGCTCATTCCCTCCCCCCAAAAGGACACACAACTCCAACACAGTACCAATCTGGGAACTCAGCACTGCCCATAACGTCCCAGGATCCTGAGTCCTTTCTTGGGAGGGAAATCCCCAGACAGCCCCTCCCCAGCACCCCAAATCAGAGCCCATGACACTACTACCCTCCCCTGGAGACACACAAATTCGCACTTACCTTTTGGTGCCCAGGACCTGGCCTCCCAGCTTGATCCTGAGCTTAAGCTGGGCTGGAGCTTGGGCAGGACCAGAAGCAGTGCTGGGGAGGGGGGGGCCGGGCCCTTCCTCCTGATGCTGCTTCTTCTTGTGTTTCTTCTTGTGCTTCTTATGCTTCTTCTTGTGGCCACCGTGGCCGTGGCCACTCAGTTCCAGCTCTTCCCCTGGGGGTCAGCGCCTTTAGATGGGGGTGCGGGCAGGGGAAGCACCCGGGGCACACAATTTGGGCAGGCATCGGGGGCCCTTCCCGGGAGCTGGGGTTCGGGGAGGGGATGGAAGGGGGGCTGTGGCTAGGCCGGGCCGTCTCCATGGCAACCAAGGAGGCGCCAAGGGGGGAAGGAGTTCCCGTTGCTATGGAGATCGCGCGCAGGTCGGCCCAGTCCGACCAACCCAGCCAGGCCCGACCCGTACGGGCTCTTAGGAAAAAGCGCTTCGGGCTCCCACCCCCGTTGCCCCCCGCACGGCCTCAGCTGCGGACCCAGAATCTCTGGGAGGCAGGCCCTTTTCCACCTGGGCCTGAACCCTCCCAAGTACCACCTACCGGGTTCAGACCCCTCGGCGGCCCCGGAGGCGCCTCCGCGTCTCCACAGCTTGCTCATGGGCAGCCGCAGCTAATACGGACTGGAAAAGACAGAGACACACGCGAACGACCCCCTTCCGCCCCGCGGAAGCTTGCTCCCGGAAGTGAAATTACTCCCCTTCCGCTCGTGCCCAGGGCTGTCAGCCATCTTCGTGCGGGGCTGCCCCTGCGCCCAAATGCCTCCCCTGCGGAAACAGAGCCCGTCCTTGGGGGTCCAACTTGGGTTCCTCTCTGCGGCCGAGGGGCGGGGCTGGGGAGCGGCTCGGGGCCCCAGGGATCCACCTTCGGCATTCGCACACGCACGTATCCCCCTCCCACTCCACGGTCCCGTAGACCTGAAACACCTATTTCTTTACCGCAACCTCGGGTGAGAGGTTTTGTGCTCAATGCGGTGGAGAGGAACTCTTATTCCGAAGGCAGATTTTTGCGGGTTGAAAAAAAAAGTATAATTCTTAAAGTTTTGGGGGTTTTTTTTTAAGCCAAGCCTGTAAAGTAGGAAGTGCAAGTATCGTTATTCCCATTTTACAGACGAGAAGACTGAGGGAAAACGTCTTGAATCGTACACTGGATCACACAGCTAGGGAACGTAAGGGTAGATGTACTCCAAATCAATAAATACAGGGTGTTATCTTAGTGCCGCTTTAAATCCACGCTAGAATTTTGCAACTATTAAAGCCACTAAACTAAGCTATTACAGTTTAAAATGGCACTAAGATTTGTGGACACTATTTATTAAGTGCCTACCCCATGCATAGGTGTGTTTTTTTTCTTTGTTTTTTGTGAGAGACCTAGACCCAAAGACAAACAAGAATTCTCCCCGTACAGACTCTCGACTCAGTACTCTTTCCAAAATTTCACGTTTTGAGCTCCCGGAAGTTGAGACTTTCATTTCTGCATTTGTTTCCCCAACACCTAACGCTGTGTCTGGAACATAAACAGGTGCTTAATAAAAAAAGCTTGTGCATCTAATTATCTGATTTTTCACTTCCTGTTTCTCGGCCTTAGTTTTCTCCTCGGTAGAGTGAGAAGATAGAGCTCCAATGTCCTTTTCAGTTCTGATTTGATTCTAGTATTCTTCCCTATACCCATTCCTATGCTCTTTCAGAGCAGGGGACTGTTTTTGCTTTTCTTTGTATCTCTGGTGCTTAGCACGTAGTAGGCGCTTAATAAATTCTTGTTTACTTCACATGCGACACATGTGTAAATAACCATCCTGCCCCACACACATGCACACATGTATCCACAATCAGAGCAACGCTCCCCTCATTCCAGCGTTCACCTGTACGTACATCCACAGCAGCACCTACAATGCAGAGTTTTCAACCACACCAGTTTCTTCCCAGATTTTCACTTTCTGCTTTGCAGTCCTAGAGCCTTCTCTAGGGTGTCCCTAAGCAGAGAACTGGACCGCTTGGGAACTGGGAAGAAGCCATCTCCTGCCAATTAGCAGAGGGGGTGGAGCCAGCAGCCCAAACATGCTTCTTTGGCTCCGCCCTTGCTTCAGGTAAGCCGACCTCCCTCTCGGTCCCCAAAAACCGTCTCCAAGCCTTAGTTCAGATGGGATGCTGTCCTAACCAACTTCACTGTTAATGCGGGGTTAGCTCAGGTGTCCGCTCTGGGGCGGAGCTCTTCTCGAGGTAATTCTGTACTGAGCGTTCCTTCTCATTCGTGTCCTAGGTGTCCCTCCCGAGGCCAGGGGGCGGGTGAAGTTTGGCAATAGAGTAACTGGGAGATTCCCGGGCTTTGAGAGTGGGTGAGGGGGCTGGGCCAGGCGTGGCTGGGCGTGAAGGGACGGGACAAAGCCAGGCAGGACAGGACAGGAGCCCAGAGGAGATGAGAGGAAGTCCGGAACTGAGATTAGGGAAACCCGAGGTTTGCTGGTAACAGAAAACAAATCGAAAAAACAATCGATCAAGCAGACAAAAAAAGCCTAAAGACCAGGCGGCCCGGGACAAAAGAACTAGGGAAAGGGTCTGGTCCATTCCAGTGTTAGACTGAAGAATGTTTTCCCGGAATCACCGCAGTCGGGTCACTGTAGCCCGGGGTTCTGCCCTGGAGATGGAGTTCAAACGCGGCCGCTTTCGCCTCAGCCTATTCTGCGACACCCCAGAGGTAGGAGACCCTCCTCACCCCTCCCAGCGTCTGTCGCTACCTCCTACGGTTCGCCCCCCTTCCCTTCGCCAGTAAGGGGTGGGGCAAGGGGTGGACCTTGCAAGTGCCACAATCAGGGTACCAAGGGTGTTGGCTTAGAAAGGTACTAACTGCGGCCCTGGCCGACTTTTCCCAGCCTCTGCTGTGTTCGATTGGGCTGGCCCAGTCAGGGAAAATATCCAGGTTGAGCCCCATTTCAGTGGCCCCAGTTAAGACTTCAAAACTTCCCGAAGTTGGTCCCTCTTGGCCCACTCCATGTTCACGCACCTGCAACCCTTCCATCATGTTCAGGATACCTGGAACCCTCCTCTCCACACCAAAACCACCCTCTTAGGCCTGGTTCTTAGAATTCTCTTGGACTTCAGAAAGCCCTCTCTACGTCCAGTCTGGAGACTGATTTAGGTAGAATTGACAAGTGGTAGATGCTTGAAATGGAGATGTAAATAGTTCCTAGCTCCAGGAGCTGGAGTAGCTGTGTGGTAGAGAATAGGGGACACCAGTTCCTTTCCACTTCCCCTCACCAACTATCCATCTTTGCTAAATGATTAGGCTCTTTCCATGGGTTCATTCTTAGGAATTAAGGCTGGAGTTGGACCAGGGATGATCCTAAATGTCCAAGCCATAGTCTGGGATACTTATCTGGAAGAGTTACATACATGCATACAGAGAGAGAGAGAAGGGGAATGGGGATTGTCTTTATAGTAGGGTGTGTGTGTGTGTGTGTGTGTGTGTGTGTGTGTGTGTGTGTGTGTGTGTGTGTGTGTGTGTGTGTGTTTGTGTATGGTTGTTGATTGTTGGGGGACTAAGAGGGAAAAATCCCTGGAAGAGGTCTCCAACCACCTAGGGTCAGTGCCTTTCACTCCAAGGTTTCATAGCGTGGTGAAAGTTTAGTTTAGTTAGAGGAGCTGTGTTTAGCCAGATTTGGCTGCCTGTGTGATGTTGGTCAAGTGATTTCCTCTTTTTGGGTCTCAGTTTTCCTAACCAAGCATCAACAGCATCCTTGTACTAAATCAGGGGTTCTTAACCGTTTTTTTTTTGGTTTGTTTTATGGACCCCCTTGGAATTCTGGTGAAACTTAAAGATGGCCTTTTGGGAACGTGTTAAAGTGCATAAAATAAAATACATAGAATTACAAAGGAAACCAGAGGTTAGTGAAAATAAGATGTAATATTTTTCCTATCTAGTATCTGGCTTCCTTCTCCCTCCGGACCTGAAAAGGATTACATATAATGGCTCCACCTGCCCATTCCTTCACTCCCCCCCCCACTACTCCCAGCAGAGATTCCGGTTGTTCCCCCTGGGAACAAAGGCCCTATTCATTGCTCTCTCCTCACCTACTCTTCTCTCTCAGCACTGCTGCCTCTGGGAAGGGAAGGGCTGGGAAGGGCTGGGCTGACTACTCTGAAATGCCACCCGAAGATTCTGTATACAAAGGATCACCAACCCTGACGGGGTAGACCCAAAAGTCAGAATCCTAAGGCCTAGGAATTACTGAGGTGTTTATTAGGGTAAAACTTTTAAGTCGTGGAAGGAAAAGGCTGTCCTCTCCTACCAGTTGAGGCCACCCTAAACTTCAATCCAAGAGGTGGAGCATGGATCTGAGGGTGGAGCTGAAAATGAAGACAGCTGCCAGCCTGAGCTAGGCTGCAGAGTTTGGGAACACAGTCCTAGGCTAGAGGACACTCTGGACCCGAGAGACAGGGGCTGGGCTTGGCCCCGGGATAATAGGGCGGGGCCTGGATTACAGTGACCTTCTGGGTCACTGTGTGCTCCAGTGGGAGGGGGGCAAGAGCTGCAGCTGGCGGGGGACGGGCTGGTTTCCTGTCTGGAAGGGAAGGGGCCCAGAGAAGGGAGTATGTGTACAGGGGGGAAAGAGCTACATGCAGGCCCTACCCACCTAGCCCCCTCTCCTTGCTGGAACAGAGTGAGGTAACTGGGGAGGCTGGACTGAGTTGGACTGGGCTGGACTGAGGCGGGGCACAGCAGAGCATGGGAGGGGCAGTTTGGAGTGGATGGGCTATTCTCTGCGACTCACCCGTTTCCACTTCCCGGGCTCAGTAGCTGCCTCACTTTCTCCACACATCCATCCTCCCCACTAAAAAGCTGAACCAGAGCCAGGTTTCTAGTTGGAAGCCTCCAACCTTCCTTATCTGCTCCTTGAGAACCCTTAACAACCATGTGAAACCTGCAGCCAAATGCTGCTTGACCACCCCCCCACCCTCTGAAAAATATCCCCATTCTGCCTCTCCCCCCCCCATGCCATCACATTACCCCTCACCCCCATCCTTGTACACATTGGCCCTCTGTCCACTGGGCCAGTGATGTGGGCGGGGGCTAGGGAGGGAATGAAAGGCCCTTTCTCTTCCACAGCTGGGGAAGCAGCTGCCATCAGACCCAAACTGGATGCTCAAGTCTGCCTAGGGGCCCCCTCTGCCACTAGCCCCCCTCCCCTCAGTCAATTCTCCAGACCCTCCCTTCTCCCCTCCCACCTTCCTTTCCCTTCCCCTCCCTCTATCCCTTGCTCCCGCCTGGGGCGGTGTCAGCAGCAGTGGAGAAAGTTTGTCGTGGCAGCCTAAAAGGCCTGACTCCAGGGAGTTAGGGGGTTGAAGGGAGGAATCAGGACTGCTTCAGGGCAGAGCTGAGGGCCACAGAGATGCAGGACAGATTGCACATCCTGGAAGACCTGAACATGCTGTATATCCGGCAGATGGCGCTCAGCCTGGAGGTAATACCCCCACCCCCACCCGCCAGGGGTGCATGTCGATCTGCATGTGCCTGAGCCTCACAGAACTCTAGTCTGCTGGAGATTGGGGAAGGGGAAAGGAGAGTCCTTGCAGGATTATATATCCGTAGGCTGCATGAGAGTGGGTTTCATTGTGTCTGCCCCAACCCCAAACAGCCATCTAGAGAGCAGCCCAAGCTATGTTCCCATCACATTGTGTTGCTCACTGCCCTTTCTCCCACTCCCCACCCCCACACATTCTGGAAGTTGGATATTGGCATGTGGCTTTTCTGGAAACTAGGAGAGCGGTGAGGATTAAGAGGAGAAACAGCACCGTGGAGTGGAAAATGGGCAAGTCACTTCCTGGGCCTCAGTTACCTCATCTGTAAAATGGGGGCAGGGAGGGGAGGGGAGGTTGGGGCCAGGTGGCCTCTGAAATTCCTTCCAGAAAGAGCAACTCTAAAGTTGACAGTAAGGAAGCTAGCTGAGATAGGACAGATTAGGAGGTGGTCAGAAGCATGACAGCCAGTGGTTATGAACACAACCTGGGGCTGGGGTACAAAGGGAAGAAACAGGCCTGGGGAGTACAACCTTGTACATGCCCATTCCCATTCACCCACTGTATATCCAGGAGGCCTTCCTTACCCGTTGAAATCATATACATCATCTCTGCTGACCGTCTCTTCCTTGCAATCTTATCCCTTGTGAGTTATGCTTACCATCATGGCCTAAGAAAATTACTGTTAAATTGAATTGAATGGCTTAGAGCTCCTTTCTCCTGCATTTTGGTCTCCACCAAGGTAGGGCAGGGTGTGGAGAGGGACTTGTGAAAGGTGCTTCTTGGACAAGAAGACTGGAGTGGGTGGAATTAATCAGGAAAAGAAGACAAATTCTGGAGGTGACTTTAATGTTTGTTTGAAGGAGGCATAGGAAAAACATTTATATATACACATGTCACCAACCTGGGTTTGAGCCACTTATGATCTTGAGCAAATAAGATCTTTGCGCTTCAGTCTCCTCCCCTAGAAAGTGGGGATAGTGTTACCTGCATTACCTGTCTGTCTCATAGAGTTGCTGTGTGAAAAGTTTTATAAACCTTTGAGGTCATAGAAATGTGACCTAGTAGTTGTATTGTTATTATATGTGGAGCAGCCAGGGCAAACGATGGAAGGGATGGGGGTGGGGGAATCATCCTGAGGAGGATCTGAGTCGAGAAACAGAAGTCTACCAAAAGTAACAGTACTGGAAACACTGAAAGGAGCAGTCAGATCTGAAGCTTGGGGTGCTACTGGGAGACCACTGGAGACTAACAGCAGGGAGTCTCAGAAAAATCTGGGGAAACTGCATTTGAGAACCTGTCCTAGAAGAGGTAATCCATTGTCCAAACGGGGAGCTAGATATAGATTTAAAAAAAAAATAAGATTCTTGGGTTCTCCTATATACCTGGGGCAGAGAGTGAGGAGGCATAGGGGAGCAAAGGTAATGGCATGCTGTGCTGGCCGTAAAGGAGAGCAGTCATTTCCGATGTTGGGCTGAGACTATGGTCTACAGACCTTGCAAAGTCCGACTTCAGGGTCCAAAGCTGGAAAGCAAAATGTGTAGGTTGTAAGATGTTTTTCCCCTTCTTGTTTGCCCTGGGCAAAAGGTTCTCTCTACTACCTTCTTTCCCCACTTCGAAGTTCTTATAGGTAATGAATAGCTTCCAAGGTGAAATGAAGGGGTCTCCACGCACTGGGCAGGATCTTGTTTAATCCTTCCTCTGTATTCTGCCCCCTCCACACCAGTCCTTGTGCTCAGCAGGTAGAACTTTGCCCATAGATCCCTGACTCCTTTAGAGAGGAGAGGGTGAGAGTGGATTGGCAGCAAGCTCTAGGTGAGGGGCTATCTCCTTAGTGGCCTACTGCTACAGCCCTCCTTCCCTCCATTTTTCCCGGTGGGTTACTGTGGCTGGTCTGGGACTGAGTACCCAGTTCCCCTAGCCAGGGTGGAGATGGGGGGGTGGGGGTGGAGCTCCAGGGCGTGGCCATCATGGGGTGGGGCGGGGCTTGGACTTGTCGGGCCGAATGCTGTGGGTGGGGGCTGCTGCATTTGAGGAGGGGACTGCCTAGACCCCGGGATGATGGCTCTGTGGCCTGAGAGAGGTAAAAGGCTGGACATATGTCCCTGCTACCCTGGCCTCACCCCGCCGCAGCTGCTCTCGCGTCGGTTTGGAGCTGATGTCACCGGAGCTCCTGAGCTCTGGAGGCGTGAGGAGGACTCGGGAGCATTCCGGCAGAGCCTTGCTGAGCCGGCCCGGCGCTGGCCCTCCGGCCTGCAGCCCGGGTTAGCTAGCTCCTCACTTGTCCTGGCCCGGCCAGTCAGAGTCCGGGGGCCAGAGCCGGCGGCGGAATGGATGGAGCCGAGGAAGGACGAGTAAGTGATGCCCAAGGGAGAGACATTCCGGGAGGGAGGCTCTTCAGCCTCGCAGCCCCGTCACTTCCACCTAGAGTCTTGTGGTCTGTGCCTGAGGACACCCGAGTAGGAGAGAGGCCCTGGGAACAGACCCGTGTTTTAGGTACGAAGGAAATCCTATTCCCTTTCCACTCAACCACACACCCCTGCATAGCCCACCACTGCAGAGCTCACAGCATGGCCAACCCCAGGGCAAGCAGGCAGCTAGCAATGACACATGGGTAAATCCCGATGGACTTGGGGGGAACTGGCTCCCCGAGGTTTTCTCAGAGAAGACGATTAGAAAGGTACTTTATTTGGAGAGGAATGAAAAGGGAGAATTCCAGATAGAGACATCAGGGGTGAAGGGGGCTGAAGATCAGTAGGTAGGGGACTCAGGGACTCAGGAAAAAATACTGGCTTAGCCAAAGTAAAAGAAGCTGAAGTTGGGAAGATGGGGAGGGGCCCCATAAATCTGAGTTTGAAATGTCTAGCGGAGGGGATTAGCTTGAGGGAAGAGATAGAGGTAGAGGTCAAGGAACTCCACAGGGGGAGAACCCTCCTCTTCCATTAGCTGCCCGCCTAAAGTTTTGGGTGTGGAGAGTAGCATGAGATAGAGATGGAGAATGAGGGCAGCATGAGAAGTGAAGGCTGAGGGATGACCTTTGGGGATGTTATTTGGACTTTCTCAGACCAAGATCCTGGGGACCTGGGCTTAGTTCACTAACTTTAGCTCAAAAAAACAAAAGAAAACCGGTAATGGTTCCCCTCTGGCTGTGGGATAAAGGCACACAAGGTCCTCACATGCTGCATTCTGCCACTACTCCCCTGTAGAAAAGTCTTGGTCCAGGCCAAGCAGACCCTTTGCTTGTTCACTTCACCAGGAAACTGGTCTCTCTCTGCCCTCCTCCCATCAAAATTCTAGCCATTCTTCAAGGCCCAGCTGAAATTTTCCCTCGTCTATAAAAACTTATCAGATTGACCCAGTTAACAGCAGGCTTTTGATTATCTCCAAATTCTTACATAGCATTTAATATTTGTCTAACAGACCTATGACACACTGCCTTCTGTTGTAGGTGTGTGTGTATGTCTGGATCTCCCCAGTGAGTTTCAGAACAGAAAGCACACTTTCCATGGTTTTATAGCTCCCATAGCACCCAAGTACAGTGAGTTGTACATAGTAGTTGCTTTGCTGGTTGGATCCTGCTTACCACCTGGACCTCAATGTCCTCATGTGTAAAGTGGGTAGGGGGTTCTTTAAGCCCCCTTCTACTCTAACATTCTATTATTCCTTGCTACTCTAACCAAGCCTCCTGCCTTCTCTCCCTGATCTTCCTATATTCCTTTCACTCTTCCTTTCATCTATACTGCCTCACTCTCAATTTTTTTTTAGTATATATAGGTCCTTTTCCTTTTTGAAATCTCTTTTGGGGTGCAGACCTAGTAGTGGTAATGCTAGGTCAAAGGGTATGCATGGCTTTATAGCCCTTTGGGCATAGTTCTAAATTGCTCTACAGAATGGTTGAATCAGTTCACAATTCCACCAACAGTGCATTAATGCCCATTTTTCCCGCATCCCCTCCACCATTTGTCGTTTTTCTTTTCTGTCCTGTTAGCCAATTTAATAGATATGAGGTAGTACCTCAGAATTGTTTTCCCGTTATCTAACTTAATCAAAAGATCTATGCTTTTCCTACTTTCACTTCCTGAGATGAATTTAACTAAGATTCTCCCCCACCTTCTTCGGAATACAGAACTGGGCTCAGGGTAGATAGGTCTTCTTGCCCTAAAGTTCTAGGTTCAGACTGACCTGTAGGTCAAATGGGCCAGAGGAGTCTGTAGTGCCCCTTCCCAACTTTTTCCCCTTCCTTCCCCCCCAACATATTTTAGGGATCCTCTCAAAATTTCAGACCCCTTCCCACCCTTGTAAGATTTAAAGTAGGAGAGCAGCTAGGTGGCAAAGTGGATAGAGCTCTGGCCTTGGAGTCAGGAAGACATGAGTTCAAATCCAGTCTCAGACTCTTGACACTTACTAGCTGTGTGACCTTGGGCAAGTAACTTAACCCCAACTGCCTCACAAAAAAATTAAAAAAAAAAAGATTTAAAGTAGGAGATTCCTTCCTTCCACAGAGTTGCCCTCCAGGTCTGGCATCTCACAACTCTTAAACCTTCATTCTGTGTTACAGGATAACATGTATTGCTTTGTGGCAATTCCCATGATCTTTTCAGTGGGTTCAGCTTCCCAGCTAGAGTATAAGCAGATGAAAGTTCAGTCATTTCAGTCTGTGCCTAACTCTTTATGACCCCATTTGAGGTTTTCTTGGCAAAGATACTGGAGTGGTTTGCCATTTCATTCTCCAGCTCATTTTACAGATGAGGAAACTGAGGCACACAGGGTTAAGTGACTTGCCTGAGGTCACAGAGCTACAGTAAGTGTCTGAGGCCAAATTTGAACTCGGGTCTTCCTGACTCCTGGCTCACCTCTCTTATCTACTGTGCCACTTAGCTGCCATAAGCAGATGAAAGGGACATGTCATTTCTTTGGTGATTTGGTGATTCCCCTAGTACCCAACTAACCCTGAGTCATTCATTCAATACTATTTGTGTGTGGTTGGGTACCTAGTCTATGCAATATAATATTAAGGTCTGAAGATTCAAAGATAACTAAGACACAGTCTATTCCCTTTTCTCCAAAGTCTTACTCTCTAAGAGGGGGAGATGAGGGAGCAGTGTGTGACGTGTGCATAAGAGAAGTACTCAGAGATCATTTCTGCCCTTGAGGATGTCTCAGCAGAGCATGTGGCCTTGGAATCAGGCTGTACCATGAAGGTTTAACAGAAATTAATAGGCAGAATTGGGAAGGTAGGTTGGAGTATGGTATTAATAGATTGTGGAAGGCTTTGAATGCTATAAGCAATGGGGGAGCTATTGGAGATTTTTTTAAGCAAGGGGAGGCTTCTCCATGCTTTAGAAAGATCAAAGCAATGGATTAAGACCCTAACTTAGGCAATGTGTTTAGGATAGATTGGAGTAAGGAGAAAGAGGAGGCAGGGAGACAAATTTAGGAGGCCACAATGACAATTCATTATTTATTTAACTCAATTTCTCCCAGGGCCTTCCTTGACTCTAATATTAGGGGAGAGGGTAGGGGTATCCTGCCTCTCCGGTTCTACTACTTATGTCTCTTCCCCCAGGATACAGAGCTGCAGCGGAAGCTAGACCATGAGATCCGGATGAGAGAAGGAGCCTGCAAGCTGCTGGCTGCCTGCTCCCAACGGGAACAAGCCCTAGAGGCCACCAAGAGCTTGCTGGTCTGCAGCAGCCGCATCCTCAGCTACATGGGGGAACTGCAGCATCGAAAGGAAGCACAGGTGCTGGGGAGGACAGCAAGGCGGTGAGCAGGGGGAGGAAGAGGAGAAGACAAGTTGGGGACAGGGGTGGCTCCTGCACTAAGCAAATACTGTCTAGAGCCAAAGATGCATTTAACTGATACATATTGAGTGTTGGCTGGGTGTGCGGTGATGCCCAATTGATAAAGAGGACTGAACGGGACAGGCTAGCATGGGGAGTATTAGGCTGACAAAAAGAGTTTGGTGCATGTGGTGTCTAGGAGCTCTGGAATGGATGGAGGGACCCCTCTGGAATTACTGTACTCCAATGCCTGAACAGCCCTGTGCCCAGAATCACATCAGGCATCACGAACTGGTTTGCTCATTGGCTGTGACATTATAAGACAGGATTCCCCACAAGCTCTTCCAGAGTGGCCTTGAACACAGAACACAGTTCCATGGAGTTGGATATGTTCTAAGCAAGGAAGCTGATAGGATCCCCACCAGCTCTTGACAAGAATGTTAAAGGGGGTAACTGCAAGAAGGGAAGGTGGCAGGCTTTCAGAAATAGTTCAAGCTTTGGGACCTATTGGAATAACCAGAGTTGTAGGGGATTTAGTGGGGAGGCTATCTGTGCTGTCAAAGATTTGGGGTCCAGTGTTGGAGAGACACAAAGCTGCTGCAAACTGAAGACTACAGACAACAGGGTTTGAAAGAGACTGGGTCCATGCAGTGCACTTTCTGCATGAGAGGCATCATGGCACCGTGAATCAAGGACTGGGCTTGCGGGGAAATGAGTTCAAATCCCACCTGAGACATCTACTAGCTGTGGTGACTAGCTCAGTTTCCCCATCTGTAAAATGTGTGTGGTGGTGGGGGGGTGTGGATGGACTACTGTACATGACCCCAAAGGTCCTTTCCAACTTTAAATCTGTAATCCTAATTGGTAAAATTTGATGAGCACGGTAGGACTCCAAAGTATTGGAGATAAGTGTTGATGGGGGAAAGCCTTAGAGTTTAGATCACTGTAGTGGAAAGCTGATTTGCCAAATGGCATCGAGAAAAGGCACTAGTTACATGGTATGGAGGGTAAAGGAGAAGTTGGCATGAGGATCAATGTAGGATTTTGACCTGAAAGGGACCTAGTTCAACTCTCTAATTTTAAAAATGAAGAAACTGAGAAAGGTGAAGCAGCTTCCCCCAGGTCCCAAAGGTAGTAAATGTTAGGGCCAAGATTCCTAGCCAAGTCCATTGGAAGTTCTAACTGCCAATCCAGAGCACCATAGTCCCTTGGAATACAGTGGCAGGTCATCAAAAATAAGCTTCAATGCTTTTCCCATTAATCAGCCCACCAGGAGTTCCTTATTAATTGCCTGATGTGTTTCTTTACACTCTTGCCTCCCAACCCTCCCTCACCCCCACATCCAAATACATGTCATCTATATATAAAAAGGAAGGGTTAATGGGATGTGGGGGGTGGGGAAGGAGATGAGTAATGTTAGTTGATTAATTAGGAAAAAAAAACCTTGGTATTTATAGAACGATTTTGTTTGGAAACTTCCCACTTGAGACTCATGATACCTGTGAGGTAGGTATGATGTGTATTATTATCCCCATTGTACAGATGGGGAAACTGAGTCTCTGAGAAGCTAGGTGACTTGCCTCTGGTCATAGAGCCAGTGCCAGAGAGCAGGATTCAAACTGAATTCTCTCTTATTCCTAAATTTGGCACACTTTCCTACCATGGAGGAAGGGACCCAATAAAGCAATATTGTTATTCTTACAAGGCATCTGTGCCAAAGAGTGTGTATAAGTTTATACAGGACTCTGTAACCATTTGCATATACAGGGGTGGAAGCATATTAAGTGATCGCTGGCACTGATAACTGATAATGGAATTCTTAGGGCCATACAGCTCCTTGTACTTTATCCTTTGGTCGCCCCCAATATCTGCCATGTCAGTAAGCTGTCATCCAGGCACAGGAGGGAATTCTGGGTATCAGGATGGTCCATAATCCCTGTGTTTCTGCAAGAGGTTGGAGGGGGAAAAGGAGAGGTGTTTAACTACCATAACATGCTTATTTCCTCCCCTGCACCCAAGGCCTTCAGACACTGGGCCCCCTGATGAACGCTCCCCATGTCGAGGCACAATTTGTATCTCTGGTAAGGAACCTCCGGTTCATCTTCACTGACCCTTTACCTCACCCCATCCTGGCATCCCCTTCCATGACTCTCCCTGCACACAGGCTCTGTCCCTGGGGCTAAAGAATATTGTCCAAGTGAATATATTTTCTCTTGGGGTACCTCCCTTCCTCTTGTGCTGTCTCAACCCACCCTGGTTCCCTTCTCCTCTAGATATCCGAATCCCCCTCATGTGGAAGGACACAGAATATTTCAAGAACAAGGGAGGTAAGTCTCACGGACTGCAATCTTTTCCCTGGGGAGTGAGCTGGGTAAAGACCCCAAGGACTCTTATCTGCTCTGTTGGGGGGGGGGGCTCCTAGCAATGTCTATCAGTTCCTATTTGACATTTGGCTTCTCTACCTTCAGACCTACATCGATGGGCCGTATTCCTGCTGCTGCAACTGGGAGGGAACATTCAGGACACAGAGATGGTCCTGGTAGACAGGACCTTAACAGACATCTCCTTTCAGAGCAGTGTTCTTTTGTGAGTTCTTAATCCACTCAGCCTTCCCTACTCTCCAACCTAGCCCTGATCCTTGGGAGAGGGGCCCAGGGTATGTGTCTGAGGAAAGGCAGGATATGGGCGATGCTGTAGGACTCTTCTCCCTCTCCCACAACTCTCCTGGGGTCTCCCTGTACTCCCTCCAGACCCCTTTCTCATCTCAGCCCCATCTTTTGCAGTACTGAGGCAGGACCAGACTTTGAGCTGCGGTTGGAGCTGTATGGGGCCTGTGTAGAAGAGGAGGGAGCACTGGCTGGAGCCCCCCGGAGACTGGCCAGCAAGCTCAGTAATTCTCTGGGCCGATCCTCAGGAAGGCGTGTTCGGGCTTCACTGGAGAGTGCTGGAGGCTCTGGAGGTAGCAGTGCGGCCAGCCCCATCCTGCTCCCCACTCCAGCTGTGGGGTAAGACATTGTCACTGGGCCCTATGGCTCTCTCCAGTGGTCTCTGAGCTTCTCCTTGGGCTACCGTGGAAGAAGGGTAGAGGCATACCGCCAAAGAACATTGACATGGGGAGCAAGGATAACCATTTACAAATATGTGTATTGCCCAGGATGTGTCTAGGTGATTCACAGCAAGGTGGGCCAGGCTCAGAGTGGTTTCAAGAGGCCTTGAAGGGTGGTGATCCTGGAGTGGGATTTCTAGTGAAAGAAGCAATGCCTCAGAAAACCCTCAATGAGAAGGGAAGAGGAGAGTTGTTTCACCCTGTGGTCATTTGATTCCTCCTGTGTTATGATCTCCGTTCTTTCTCCTATCTGTTTCTTTGTCCCTCCCACAGGGGTCCCCGATACCACCTCCTGGCCCAGACCGTCCTGACTCTGGCTTCAGTACAGGATGGCTTCCGCACCCATGACCTCACCCTCACTAGTAATGGTGAGTGAGCGAGGGTGGATGGGGGTGAAGTCTAATTCTGGATGGAGAAAAGAGGGGCCCAGTTAAAGGGCCCCCCCTTCCCTTTCCCAACATCACTCTGTTCTCTCTAGAGGAAAGCCCAGCCTGGCTACCCCTCTACGGCAGCGTGTGTTGTCGTCTGGCAGCTCAGCCCCTCTGCATGACCCAGCCTGTCATGAGTGGTACCCTCAGGGTACAGGTGAGGACAGGGAAGGACCAAAGGAGGCGGGGAAGGAGAGAGAAGAGACAGTTGTGTAGAGGAATTGTTTTAAGGAAGAAAGGCTAGAAAAGAGGATCAAGCTGTCAGAACAGGATCTGTGGGATCAGAAGTAGATAAGTGGGGAAATCAATCATCACCTTAAATTCAGGCATAAATGAGACAGAGTGCTACTGAGAGGTACCAGGTGAGGGTAAAGGTGGGCTGGGAAGGATGGGGAGGACAGTGGTGGTAGAAAGTGACTTCTAACTTGGTTTGTTTACCCTGGCCCATAGAGCTGGGGCCAGGTACATGGCATCCTGAAAGGAACAAACCTTTTCTGTTATCGACATCCTGGGGAAGCCAACGCTCAGGAAGATCCATTGTTCACCATTGCAATCAACAAGGTAATGATGCCAGCTCGGGGACCCCTCAGCAGTGGGGGGCTGGGGAGGATCCTCAGCAGCACATGGGAGGACACCCTTTCCAACCTCTGACGTGGACCTTGTACAGAAACGGGGCTCCCACTCACATAGGCCTTAAGGACAAACACTGCTCAGCACTGACCCCAGACTACAGGGAGCCTGACCTGCCTCCACCCAAAACAGCAGAACAGCTCCTGGAAATGGAGCCATGCTCATGACTGGCTCATGCCAAGATCCTCTGGCTTCAGATCCCACCTGAGACGTTTACTGTGTGATCTGGGTCCTTACTAGGTCCTGAGGCCTCAGCTTCATCTCTGAAATGACTTCGGGTCCCATGTCATTTGTCCTTTATTTAGAGGTCTCCCTCCCTTCCTCTTTCCCCCTTCTTTTCCTTTGTCTGCTTCTCTGTCAGTCTTTTAGCACTTAACCTTACTCTGTCTTTTGGTCTAGTCTTACTCTTCTTTCAGGTTTTCCTCCCTTCTTTCTGAACAGGGGTTCCTTAGCTGTTTTAAGCCATGGTCCCTTTTATGTTTTTTTAGGCAATTGGGGTTAAGTGACTTGCCCAGGGTCACACAGCTAGTTAAGTGTCAAGTGTTTAGTCTGAGGTTGGATTTAAACTCAGGTCCTCCTGACTTCAGGGCTGGTGCTCTATCCACTGAACTACCTAGCTGCCCCTCATGGTCCCTTTTAGCCATCTGTGAAACCCATTGACCCCTTGTCAGAGTATCGTATGCAAAAAATAAAGCATGTAGGATAACAAAATAAACCAGTTCTATTGAAATAGTTATCAATATACTTTTTTCAGTATTTTTTTTAAAAACAAGGTCAGGGACCCTAAGTTTTAGGACCTTAGGAGATATTCAGTTCAGCGGATCTCTCTTCCACTCTGCCCTATCCGTTTTTCCTCATGTTTGGCTCTATCCAGCTCTACCTTTGGCCTCTCACTTTCTGACGTTTTGTGAAATCTGGGCTTCAGTTTCCTTATCTGTAAAATGAAGGGATGGCAGGGGGCTGGATTTGATATTTGCCAGGGTCCAGCTGTAGATCTGTCCTAAATTATTTTGACCACCAGTCATGTGAGGTTCTTTGTCCGATGTCTTCCCTCAGCCTTGCATCCTGTCTGGCCGTAGGGTCACTGACCTCTCTGGTCAGAGGAGGATGTGCTAGTAACTGATTATGTCTCCACCTGGCAGGGCCCTCCATGGGGCCTGCAAAAGAAGGAACAGGGAGGAGGAAGGTGAATCTGGTACGTGGGCTGGATCTGAACCTCTTCCCTTTCCCCAGGAGACTCGGGTCCGGGCTGGGGAGCGGGACCAGACCCTGGGGGCACCCCTCACCCTCAGCATCAGTAACCAGTATGGGGGGGATGAAGTGACCCATACATTGCAGATGGAAAGCCGGGGGGCCCTACAGCGATGGATGGAGGCCCTGTGGCAGCTTTTCTTTGACATGAGTAAGTGGTGTAGGGTGCTCCTGGGGAGGGTGGGGCAGGGGGCCTGTGGGGCTCCTGGGAGGCTCCATAGGTAAGCTTCATGGTCTGCATTGCTTCTGTGGGCTCTTACGGCCTGGGGACCATGGGGCAGGTTCCACAGAATTCCAAGAAGGCTCTAAGTGGCAGGAGAAATTGCAGTCCAAGTCTATGACTGGAGGACAGCCTGGCATCGTCCTGTTAGCCTGACACCCTTCTCTGACCAGTGATTGAGAGGGAGGGTTTATTAGAGAAAGAAGCCAGGGTGAAGGCGAGGCACCCAGTGGACCCATCATGGCCAGCACCCTCTTTCTCCCCTCCTGTAGGCCAATGGAAGCAATGCTGTGATGAACTCATGAAGATAGAAGTCCCTCCTCCACGAAAGCCACCCCCTGCACTGGCCAAGCAAGGCTCGCTCTACCATGAGATGGGTAAGGAAGACTCCATGCATGGGAACAGGAGGGAGGTGGCTGCAGGAGGCCCCGAGGATGGAGGCAGGTAGATGGAAAGGGGTCTCCAGGAGTGGGCACATCATCTTTGAGCAGAAATGATATCCAGCTTGCTTCTCCTTCCTGTCTGGCCCCTCTCTTCTCACTCATTCACCTCCAGCTCTGTCCTGTTCTCAGACCCACCTACCTCCCCCTGCCTTTGACTTGTTCTCAGAAGACCCACTGCCTCGTCCCACTGTCACCTCTGACCCTCTTCTCAGACCCCCTCCCCTCCCCCACTGTCACCTCTGACCCTCTTCTCAGACCCACTCCCCTCCCCTACTGTCACCCCTGAGCCTCCCCTTAGATCCCCTCCCCTCCCCGACTGTCACCTCTGACTCTCTCCTCAGATCCACTCCCCTCCCTCAGTCACTTTTGACCCTGTTCTCAGACCCACTCTCCTCCCCCACTGTCACCCCTGAGCCTCCCCTCAGACCCCTCCCCCACTGTCACTTCTGACCCTCTTCTCAGACCACTGTCACTTCTGACCCTCTTCTCAGACCCATTCCCCTCTTCCTCTGTCACCTCTGACCCTTTTTAAACCCAGTCCCCTCCCCCACTGTCACCCCTTACCCTTTTCTCAGACCCAGTCCCTCCCCCACTGTCACCTCTGACCCTCCCCTCAGACCCACCCCCCTCTCCCTCCAAGGTCTGCCTTTCTTCTCCTCCCTAGGCCTGTTTTCAGACCTCTCCTTCTGCTCTTAGATTCCCCCTAAAATGGTTTCTTTTTGTAGGGCTCTTCAGGCCTTTCCCTTCCTAATATCTTCTTTTCTGTCTCCCCTTCTTCATGCTGGTCTTGGCTCCGGGGACCACTTCCCCCTTTTTTTGGTTTCTCTGGGCCTCGCCACCTTCTCCCCCTCCCTCCCCTTCCTCAGCCTTGGTCCCAGGGGGCCCAGGTGAGGGGCTACTGCTCCAGGATAATGCTGTATCAGCCGAGATTCGGGCTCTGCTCTCCTCCTATTACAGCGAAAGGTGACAGCTGGCCTGGTGGCTGGGAGGGGGCCTGGGGGGTTGGGATGGCACAGAGAACGTCTGGGCTGAAGCTCTGACGTGTACCCCCCCAATCCCCTCCTGGTGCTACAGCTATTGAACCTCTAGATGACATCGCAGCAGTGACGGACATCCTGGCCAAGCGGGAGGGGCCTCCCCTGGATGTCCCCCCACACTGGCTGGCATTATTTACAGAGAAGCTGCCCACCTCAAAGCTCCCAATCCACGCACCCCGAAGCCCCTCTCCACCCCGGGCCTGCCCAGGCCCCCGAGCCACTCCCTGGGGCCGGCCCCGTACCCTCTCCCTGGATGCTGCTCCCCGAGGCCGGCCTCCTCTTCCTCCCCGCTCCAGCTCTAGTTCCAGCTCGGGCTCTGGAAGCCCTGCCCCCCGACAACGGTCCCCACCAGCCCAGGGTTTCCGGGCAAAAGCCCGGCCCTGGCTCCAGTCACCTGTGTGAGGCATTGTAGGAGGGGGTGCTACTGAAACAGGGTAATGCTGGAAGAGGAAATGCCTTCTGATGTCACTCAAGGGAGTGATATCAGGGCAGGGTCAGTGGTGCCACTGATGAGGGTCTTGGGATGGCCACCTTGATGCCTGGCTCTGCTGTGGTTTTGGTGGGAGTGCAAACCCCTCCCTAACTGTGGGGCCACCACAAGGGGACCTTGTCCACAGCTGGCTGGTGGACCCCGGCCACTTCCTGAGAGAAAACTGGAACACTCCCAGCCCAACTGCACTATCCCCACCTTGGGCAAAAGTGAGGCAGGCAGCCCTTGAGGTTCTGGGAGGAGGGAGTTGTAACTGCAGAAAGGGCGCCTGCACCCATCGCTCGCCCCAACTCGGTCAATTAAAGTCTATTTAACATCGTGGAGTTGAGCTCCAGTGTCTTACTGTGGGAGGAGCAGCCAGCTCCCAGGCTTCTATAAACCTGACTTCACTTCTAGTCCCTCTGTGTAAAGTCCTGTAGTTAACTCCTTTAAAGAAACAGACACAGAGGGGTTAGGGGTTCTGTCATACCTTTATATACAACAGTGGGGTACACTGTTTCACAGATGTGAAATGCAAGGGGAAAGCCCCCAGTACAAGCCGGCTCAGAACCTGGGGGACATATCAGGCAGTCCTGCCTCCTCCTCTTCCTCCTCTCCTCACACACAGCTGTATCTTAGAATCTCTGGCAGGTCATAGCCTGTCACAGCGAAGGAAGAGCCCCTGGGGTCACAGAATCGGGCCCCACACACTTGGGTGTCGGTCACACATTCTGCATGGCAGTGTTCCACCTGGGGGAGGGGGAGGGAGGGTTAGGGCTCTGCCCCTGGGGGAAAAGAGGGCTTGTGTGCTCCCTGAGGGGCCTGGAGTGCTAGGATCATTCCCCGCTGTGACACTGCCTGGGCTTGATACAGACCTCAATGCAGCCACTGTCTGGATTTCTGCTTAGCTTCCAGATATGCACAAAGGAGTCTTCAGCCCCAGAGAGCAGCTGTAGGAGAGGGGAAATGGAGCTAAGGGGCTGACAGGAGAAACCCTGGTTTGTGCACAAGGGGAATTAACCCTGGGGTGATCCCCAGGAAGATACCTCCATCAAGGCTCCCTATTGAGACCTAGAAAGAGGTTCTCACAAGGTGGGCCATTGATGCTACAGGGCCTGGGTAGACTCACCTTGCCCGCCTCAGGTGCCAAGTCCAGGGCACTGACACCACGGGCATGGGCATTGATCTGGACATGCAGGGCCCCTGAGCTGGCTTCGAAGACACGGATCTGCCCATCCCCATAACCAGCAGCTACAGTGCCTTGCCACAATCGGACTGAGGGGCAGGGACTCCTGGGGAGATGGAGGACATTGGGCTGGCCTTCCCAGAGCTCACCTCCCATCTAACCCCTGACCCACCCTGATCCACCTCCCCTTCTTGAGCCTCCCATACCCAAATCCTGAGATTCGGGTCAGCAGCTTAAATTCTGGACCTGACTTCCAGACACACAGAAGGCCTGAGTCATCAGCTGTCACCACATCAGCTACACAGTCCTGAGGGAAGACAGACAGTAGGTCACCCCCAAGGCCACCTCCCATCCGAGGGGCAGGGGAGCATCTGTGAGCCACTGACCGCTGGTCCAATGGGCTTTGGAGGTTGGAAAAGGGATGCACAGCAGTACCAACAACCAGTCTTCTGGATACATCGCTTTCCCAGCCAGACTCACAGCAGCAATACTTAGCTTCAGAACCGGGCTCATAACACCCCTGGAAGGTGGGTATCATTATCCCCTTTGGAAAGTAACAATGAAGTACAGAGAGAGAAAAGAACTTAAGAGGCCTCTGCAATGAGAACCCAGGTTTCCTGAACTGTAAATAATCAGTTTAAAAATATTTACTGAGCTTTCCCCCATCCCCAACCTGAGGTGGGCTCCATTCTGTGCCAGGTACTGTGGGGGAGACAGAAAGTCTAGCCATGGTTCTGACAGCTCAATATCAGGGGCTCTTCACCTTTGCCTTGTGATCCACTGGCCAGGCAGTCTGCTGAAACTGTGCGGGTTCCTTCTCAGAATAATGTTTTTAAACACATAAAATAAAACAGAATTGCTGAAGAAACCAATTATACTTAAATATGGTTATCAAGATACATATATGCCTTTTGTTTCCAAATCTCCAGGGTAAACCCCCCTGGTCTATACTGGGAGACAGAGGTGTCCTATGATGACCTATTAAGTGCTAAGTTGTAGAACACTGACACTAAGTGAAAAACAGCCATTCCTAGGAGAGGTTGTATAAATTGCCTTATTGGCCAATGTGAACTCTTGTGGGGAGGTTGGATGAGAAGGGTGGGACATAGATGGGGTCATCACCCTTCCACAGGAAGGTTTTGAAAAAGTGAGAGAAGAGACGGCAGAATAAGAGTGCCACTGGACTTAGAGGCTGACCCCTTCACTCTAGAGATGGGGAAGCAAGAGCCAGCCTGAGACGTGGCCTGCCTAGCGTGCCACCGCTATGAGCTGTTCAGCAGGAGCAGAACCCAGGCCTCCTCATCCAGGGCTCTCTTTAGGGAGGGCACGTGTGGCCTAGCAGAGAGGATGCTGCATTTAGAGTGAAGAAGCGCTAGGTTCATATCCCAGCCTGGACGTTTACTGGGTGAGCCTGAGCTCTCTTTCTGTGCCTGTTTCCTCATCTGTAAAAAGCCCTGGGATCTTCCCTCCCCAAGGAAGGGTCCCTTACCTGGCCCTGAGCAGGCTCAGCTGCAATGTCCGTGATTGGCACCCGGTGCTCATCTAGCTCCTCGCTCAGCACAATGTTGGGACCTTTGGCTGGGACATCAAACACCAAGACCCGCCCAGACCACGTCCCTGTGGGCAGGACCACAGTGTACCTCAGGGGATGTCTTCAGCCGTGTCTCTTACCCTCCACCCTGGCCAGGCTTCCGCTTACTCCCTCAATTAACTGAGCCCCTGGAGCCTTTCCTACCACTGAACTCACCAATGTGGCTCCTGCATCCCTCCCTCCATACCCAGACCCCTCACACGTCACCTCCCCTAGGCCTCCTCACCCACAAAGATGTAGTGGCCACTGGCAGCAATTCCTCGGGCAAACAGGGCCTGCGCTGAGATAGGAAGGTCATCAGCTGCTCCCCAGAAGTCCAGTCTGTGCCCCTCTCTCTTCCCTCCCAGTTCTCCACTTAAACAACCCAGACCACCACCTGCCCTGCAATACCTGGCGGGGCATCACCAGAGTCCAAGGCATGCCAATAGACCATGACAGAGCCATCTGACTCATACATCTGGAGTGGGGGAACGACAGAAGTGGAACTATGTTGTGAGAACAGATAAAAAGATGAAGCCATGGCTCTTGGGGATGTCCCCATGTAGAACTGTTGGGTCAGGTACAAGGGACAGGATGGAGGAGGGGGACCTGGAAGGGACAGAAATGGCCCTTTTCTTGTTCACCTGTATGCCTCTCTGTGAAGTCAACACTAGTAACACCCGGAAAGGCAGGACACACCAGTAGGCCTGAGGAGAAATCAATGTGGGTGTCAGAAGGAAATATTCACAAGCAACTGAGACACTGGGGGGGTTAGAAGAAGAGACATTAACAGGATCAGCAGACACAGCAACCCGGGGTAGGAATCCCGAGAGGAAGGGGCACCTGTCTGCATCAGGGCATACCCTAGAACGAACCTCTCTCTGGAGGGCTCAGCTCTCTCCTCTGGGTCAGATAACTCACCTGGGTGATGAGAGGAAAGCTCAGCCCAGCCCCCTCTTTCGCGTGCAGCTGCCGCTGGGACACGGGAAGGCCATCAGAGGTGGCACTGAGGAGCTGGACATTGAGCCCATGGACCAATGCAAACTGGGTCAGCCTTGGTGCTGGCAGGGACAGCACGCAAAGATTGTTGTAGAGGGCTGCCGGGCAGGCCTGCGTGGGGACAGGCTGCTCTCTGCGGTACATCCTGCAGGCAGAGAGCCTCGGGTTGGGGGGCGGCTAGGACAAGTGGATATGGAAGGGCACTGGGAGGTCAGGTAAGTTTTTAGGGAAAACACACAAGGATTCACAAGTCTGAGAGGCAGGGAAATGCACGAGGACGTGCATACAAATACAGTGGACATGGTGAGGGAAGTGGGGGGAAGAAGGGAGGAAGGGAATAAGCACTTCTATATAGCACCTGCTATATGCCAGCTACTGTGCTAAATGCCTTACAGATATTAACTCACTTGATCCTCAGGAGTTAGGTGCTGCTATTATCCCCCATCTTACAGGGAGGAAACTGAGGCAGACAAGGGTTAAGTGACTTGCCCAAGGTCACACAGCTAGTAAGCATCTGAGGCTGGATTTGAACTGAGATCATCCTGACACCAGGTGCTGAGTTCTAGCCACTGCACCACAAACCTGGGGTGATGATGGTGTCTGGGGGAGACCTGGGACAAAGGGGCAGGAGGTCTGCTTGGGGTATGGCGATATGGCGAACGGAGCGGGGTTAGAAATGCACACAAGGGTCACAGAGGGGTGCAGGACGGTCAGTATGGATTAGTCCCTGGACAGTAAGTGTTTGTAGCTCAAGGGCACTGAGCACCAGCAGAGGGGACCCGGGAGCACCGCCACCCCTGGGGGACGCTAAGGCAGAAGGACATGGGCGTCTGACCTAACACGGCCGGGCAGCGCGAGAGCGCGGAGGGACACCGGGAGGGCTCACACTTGCGCAGTAGGACCGCGGAGGGACACCGAGACTGATGGGGGCCCGAGACAGATGGGGGCCCGAGACGCCGCAGAACCAGCGCTGGGGTACCTCCGACACGCAGGGGTCGGGGCTTAGAGGAAGGCGATGCGGGAGCAGGAGCCTGAATCAGACTTGAGGAAGGGGAAAGAGGGAAGGCAGATCAGGGCCCACACCGTTCCCACCAGACCCCGGATGTTTCCCTGCCTCCCCCGCCCGGGTTAGACATCCCATCCATACCTCCCCGCTACTCCCCTCCCCTCCTCCTGGCCGCGGCACCGCGCCTCACTCGGCTTGTCAGTCCCCGCATCCGCCGCCGCCATGGAGACGACGCAGGGCACGCCGCAGTGGTGTCTACGTCACACGCTGGGCCGGCCGCGACTCAGTGTGGGCGGGGGCGCGCGCGGGTCTGCACCCGGCACCGCCCACGGTTGTCCGGGTGACTGTTAGGCAGCGTCGGTGGGGGCAGTGCCGCTGAGGGGACTAATGTGGAGGTCCATAAAGGAAGCCCCAGTCCCACCAGGCTCCACCGGCGGCCATCCATGGCGCATGAAGGCTCGGTGAGCTCCGCAGGCTTGTGGGATTTTAGCAGCAGCCTAGGGCGTCCACGGACCTTCTTTAGTCACAGAACGGGCCCCCTCCCTGCCCAGCGCTGACCTCAATGAGTATTACAAGTAATACAGCGGGAAGGGTTGTTAGAGATGATTCAGGCCAACAACTCCTCCATCGATGAATGCAGGGGAGAAGAGGGGGTTGCTCAAGCCTACCCAGGTGTGCCACAAATCGGGGTGGGGGCTAGTCAGGGTACAGGGATCAGGCTAGATGGGAGTGGAGTGAGACCCTCCACAAGGACCCTTCTAGAACCTACCGACTTGACAGGCTTGTGAGAACCAAATGGGCTAATAGGGCTAACAGAGCTCTATAGAAATGTCAGCTATGACTATTATTAGTAATCATTATTCTTCCTACAGAGAGCCGGCAGAGACCGAGGGCAGGCCAGGGCCAAGGCAGAGAAGGTTCGCCCCCCTACAGTGCCTGTGCCCCAGATAGAAATTGTGCCTGGCCGTCTGAACGAATCTGAATGGATCTCACTTATGGGCATTGAGGAGGGTGAGGATGTGGTAGGGGATGTCTTGGCTGAACTGCTGGCCCGTGTGATGGATGCTGCCTTCAAGGTCTACCTGACCCATCAGGTGGGCATCTACTCTCCCTTTGCCCAGGAGAAGGAATAATTATAACTGCTATTTTTAAGTAAAGGTTTACAGTTTCTAAAGTATTTTCACATATGGCATCTGTCATTTGATTCTCACAGCTATCCCAAGAGGTATGTTGGCAACAAGTATTGTTATCACAACTTTAGAAATGAGGAAACTGAGGCTCAGGTTAAGTAATTTGCTCATTGTCACACATCTGTTATTCAGCAAATGTTTTATTACATTTATTATACATCTAGGAAGTACTAGGATTTGAATCCATGTCATTTGACTCCCAGGTCTGTTTTTTTAAACTATATTTCTTCTGCTCCTTCTTCCTCACTCTCCCAAGCCCAGTAATACTCTTTCTTCTGCCTTCCTTTATTCCTCCACAGTGCATCCCATTCACCATCAGCCAGGCCCGAGAGGCCATGTTGCAGATCACTGAGTGGCGATTCCTTGCGAGGGATGAGGGCGAAACAGATGTGGGCTGAAGACCCCACATGGGGGGAAGATGAGGAGCCTAGGGCCAGCACCACAGACACCTGGGCTCAAGGCTCTGTGCCTGTGCTGCATGCACCTTCCCCTGCTGTTCCCCCAGGACTTGAACCCTCCTCCCAACCTGAGGTAATGCCTTCGCCACCTTATTCTCCCTTAGTTTATAGCTGACTCCAGAACTTCTCCAGCTTCCTCCCATCTAACCTTCCCCCAAGATCACCCCCCAGATACTTTCCTAATGGCTAAACCCCTTCCTAGACTACCTCTTTGATGATGTAGAAATGAATAGCCTAGCAACCCCACAGCCCTCACTCTCCTGTTTCCTCCCCCACCAGGGCGCTGAGAGTGGGGAGCAGCTCCCTGTGCATCAGAAGACTTGGATTTCAGTCCCTGAGGATGAGAGCTTGTCTTTCTGGGAACCTCCTGAGTTGAGGCCCACCCCAGGTCCCCCCCCCAACACCAGAACCCTCTTCACAGAGCCCCCAACACTTTGCCTTGTCCCATCCCTGTCCAAATTCAGTCCCTCTCCTGAGCAGTTTTCCCTCTCTGGATCCTTCTATATGGGAGAGTTCCCAGTTTTCTTTGGAAATGGGCAGCTTAGTGAGTCCACATCCCTCTCTAGATATGTCCATATGGGCAAGTCCTCAGGCATCCCTAACTTCACAGCCTGGTTATATTCCATCTCTTTCACGGAGTCCCCAACCCCCTTTCCATTGCACTGGGGGTGGGGACAGCTCAAGCCAGGTGGAGGAGACAGGTGTACCTTCCCCCTACTATCTGTCAGTGCCTCTTCCACCATTCCTGGCTAGCCCTCCCTGGGGCCTCCCAAGAGCCCAGCCTGTCCCAGCCCCCAAAACTTCACTAACTCCCTCATTGCTCCCTGCTGCTTCTGCCAAATTCGTGCGCTTACAGGGGGGGCGGCCGTACCTAGCATCGGGTCTGGCGTATGACAAGATGGGACAGATCGTAGCCATGGATCCACCAGATCCTACTCATGTGCCACAGCACCAGATTCACCCCCTGGCCAAAGTTGTGGTCCCTGAAGCAGAGGTCCATCCAATGGAGTCCTACAGGGAGCAAAGGAAGCATGTGAAGTATGGGAGCGAGCTCCGGTTCCAGCTGCCTGGCCGCCCCACAGCCCACTTCCATCGTGGTTTTCCCTTCCCAGCCCCTGGCTTTGAGCTGCCTCTCCGGAACCAGCCCTTCACTCCTCTGAAGTGGTGGTCTAGTGTCCAGTGGCCTTGTGGACTAGAGGGGGAAACAGGTCTGTTGCAGAGGCAGCCAGGAGGTTCAAGTCTGATTCCAGGGACGGGGTCAGGACAGATGCCAAGGTCTGATCTGAGTATGCTTCCTCACCATGGTCCAAGAGTCCTTGAAGCCACTTCCCAGCTGATATGGAAACCTTCCCAACTGCTGGACTCAATGAAACTGAAGCCTCATGTGAGCCTCTGGAATCCAAGCAAAAACATGCATCGAAGTGGTTGTATTCCTTCCCACATAGAGAGAGGGCAGACCCCTGGTCCATTGCCTAAGGAGCCTTCTGAACAGCAGCCCATCCAAACCCATGCACTTACCCCTCAGGTTACTGTGGCTCAGCTGCTAAAGGGCTCCCCACCCAAAGTTCGGGCCCTTCCCTCTCAGAACACAGTCAGCAACACCCTTCCTGAGGAGTCCTGAATGAAGAAAGGCTGTGAGTCTTACCATGACATTCCAACCCCACCCAGCAACACTCTGAAACCCAAATCCCACTATGCCTGCTTCCCTGCAATAAATACCTGTGGGACCCTAAATGTTAGACTGATGTATCCCTGACCACTATCCTGATAATCCCTCAAAAGAAGATCACTCTTTCATGTCCAAAGGCTCTCTAACAAAGACATTTTTCCCCATGCCCTGATTTTAGGTAGCCTTCATTCAGATGGAAAAGACATTGCCTCCCTGCCAGGGACACTCTAAATGAATACTGGTACATAGGACCTCTTCTCTCAGAGAGAGAGAGAATATCCCAGTTGGGATATAGAGAGAGTATCCATCCTGTGTCCAAATGTGAATATTGGCAGGCACATTATTGTCAGAGATAAGGAATTCTTTTGAAATCACTCCACCACACAACATACTAATCCTCTGGGCTATGAAATGACGGTTCTGAAAAAGGAGACAGCCTTTCCACACACAGCCATGAGGAGGCTAAAGACTGAGAGGAGAAATACCCACACTCCTAGGAAGTCCCCAGACTGAGTCAGAGGTACTTCTAACATTGGGAAACCCTATTTCTGAAAAGGAATCAAAGACTTAGTTGGAAAATACCTCAGAGGCCATCCAGACAAATCTATCAAGGCAAGAGTACCTCTAACATCCTTTTAGGGGATGTTAAAGACAATTCAGCTTTTACTTGAAGACTTCTAGGGAGGGGAGAATCTACTAACTCATTCTACTTTGTAATCTGAGCAATGTTAAGAACTTTTTCCTTGACATCAAGCCAAAATCTGCCAATGCAATTTTCACTTGTTCATAGTTCTATCCTTTGGAGTCAAGATCAAGTCTATTTGCTCTTCTATACTAGAAGTCTTCCAGCACTTGGAAAATGATAAGGTCTATTTCCTTCAATTATTCTTATATGGTATGAACTTTGCTATTCTGGGTTGTCTAGTTCTGGATACATTTTAGTTTAACAGTGTGTTTTCTAATATATGGTCCCCAGAACTGGACTGCAAACATGGTCTAACCAAGCCAAGTGGGCTCTTTTTATGTATTCTAGACACTAGGCCTCTCTGGGTAGCTTAGGGTTGCATTAGCTTTTCTAGCAGTTATGTCTTGCTGTTGACTTACCTCAAGCCTAGGTTTGCTAAAATGCCTAGATTTTATACTAACTGGTATCATATCTCCCCTATCCTGTACTTAGTTCTTTAAAAAGTTTTATTTATTCTTCTTGGTGTTTTTTTTAATAGTTTTATTTTTATAGTTATTTGCCAGTCTACCACCACCATGTTGAATCCTTCCTTGTGCAAAACACAAATGCTTAAGCCAAGCCTAGCCAGAAATCAACTGTGTATGTCAAAAGATACAGTAGTTTTCTCCTGTAATTTCCCTTCCTTACCCCTGTGTCTACAGAGAGGAATTCTCCAAGACCAAGATTGTGGTAATTTGTTGGAGTTTTGTTTTTTTGTTTCATTTAGGTTTAGGAATTTGTGTTCATTAAGTCTCATCTTAATAGACTTGGTCCATCATTCTAGCTGTAGAGATCTTTTTTCGATTGAGATTTGGACATCAGTGTCTACTCATCTTCCCAACTTTGTGTCATCTGCATATTTATCACTATAGTGCCTTGCATGTAATAGATGCATAACATCTGTCAAATCTACATCATCATCCAGACACTGATAATATTATACAATATGGGGCCAAATACAGATACCTAGACAGTTTCACTAGAGGCCCCCCACCAAAGTTGACAGCCTGTCAATGACTACATTTTGGGGTCAGTCATTTAGCCAGTTCTGAAAACTTCCATGTACGATATGGAGTCTACCACATCTCTCAATTTTGTTACAAGAATAGTGTGATATACTTTGTCAAATGCTTTGCTGAAATAAAGCATATTATACTATATGTATACTAATTCTGAAGCATTCCCCTGATCTGCTTGTAAGGAAAAGGAATCATACCACATATATAAGTATTAGCAGCTAGATAGCAAGTCCATATTAATTCAGTTAGTTGTTTGGGAAACAGAATGACCACATACTCAAACAAAAAACGGTAAGAGCTTACGTAATTACATTGTGCTCATATCTTCCACTGACCACTTGCTCTGATTATAAAAAGATGCTATAAAAGAAAAAGCAGGGATAATGGGTTTTTTAAAGCAATTAAAAAAAAATTTTTAATGACTTGCCCAGGGTCACACAGCTAGTAAGTGTCAAGTGTTTGGTCTGAGGCTAGATTTGAACTCGGGTCCTCCTGACTTCAGGGCCTGTGCTCTATCCACTGTGCCACCTAGCTGCCCCCTGGACATGATTTTAATAGCATAAAAGTGGTCCTTCAGGCCTAAGCCTAAGGGCACAGAATGATTCAACACATACATGGCAGGACAAAACATCCTTAGCTCTGTGTGACTAAAGGTAAGGATCAAAACTGACAAGCAATCACACAATAACAAGTCCACCTCATAGCCAGCCTCAGGAATAACCAGGTGGAAAATGCTCCTGTTTGAAAAGAATGAACACAATGGGGAAACCGAGCCAAACGGATCTTACCTTCAGTATGCCAAGGGTGTTGTCTTTGCTTTTTCTCAGGTACAGACCGCCTGTAACAGTTCAGAATCACAGTCCCTCTGAGTAACTTGTGGCCAATCTCCCTAATGATGGATTGCTGACTGAATGATCTGTCAGACAACTGTACCTTGATTCAAAACCAAAACAATATCAGCTACAGTCCCAAATCATATCTTAGGGCTAGATACAATTGTTTTCACTCATGATGTTGCAATAAGCAATAAAAGTTTATCAGGACTCACACACAAGAGATTTCACTTAGCATATTTCATTTTTTTCCCTTAAATTTGATCCTGGTGTAAAGATCAATCATTAGAAATCACTTCTATTGCGTAGCAGGGGTGGGGAACCTGTAGCCTCGAGGTCACAGGTGGCCTTCAAGGTCCTTAGGTGCGGCCTTTTGACTGAGTCTAAGTTTTGCAGAGCACATCCTTTTATTAAGGGGATTTCTTCTGTGAAGTTTGGATTCAGTCAAAGAGCTGTCCTTAAGGACCTAGAGGGCCACATGTGGCATTGAGGCTGCAGGTTCCCCACAAGTGGTGTAAACAAACCTGTAAATTCTCAGGAACCCAATTTCATTTTTCAGGAATTCCATAACCCATAATATGTTATTTTCACAGGGCTAATAGTCTTGCCCAAACAGATAGTTTCTAGGACCCTGGCAAGTTTGCAAGAGAGATCTTTTCTTTGTACACACAGTAATCACCAATTTTTCCCTTTATCCCCCATAATGTTTCTAGTCCTTACTGAGTCTCATCCCTCAGTAATGAACGTGAATGGTAGGATTTTTTTCCCAAAGCTATTGCAGCTCATTTATCTGGGAATTCTTAGAAAGGCTCAAGGTTGTCCATCCAGCTCCCTTAAATAAGTTTCTCTTTTTGTAGGGAGGAAGCAAGACAGTTCTTAAAATTAAAATTGAACATAATCTATTACAAAAATGGGAAGGAGTCTCATACTTTACAGTCAAAATTTCTGATTTCAAGACACCAACTTAAAGTTATTTTTAATTTGATCAGTATTTTAGTTTGTAAGATTCCCTTAGTATCTAATTGGATGTTTTAGTCAAACTCAATTACCTTTTGATTGTTTCCTAGTTCACAAACCTTTTCTCTCTTTCATGAGCCAGAAAGAGATTAATAATATAGGCCAGCAATTTTTAAGTGCCAGGTCTATTTTTTTCTTCTTCTGAAGTTTCACTGGCAATTTCTGTAATCAGTAAGATGACCTCTAGTTGTAAAACAATAAATCTGTCGTTCTAGGGGTGGTGGGAAATGCTCTTCATTCCCCTAAAATGAATTCTAAATAATATTAACACAATTACTTGCTAGCATTTATTTCAACATAAAAACATACAAACCACGATATAGGTTTGAGGGGAAAAGATTCTCCCTCCCTCACCACCTTTTCTTCTTATCTGTCCTATACTGCAGAATCTGGCCACAGTTCAGGAATGTAAAGGCAGAGAAAGAATCTGAAAACTTAGTAGAGGTACACGTTAGTTAACAAGAGGATTTGCTGGCAAAATTTTTCCTCCTGAGCTCTGTGCACACAATTACACTCCCTGAGGGACAAACATAGGCACAGAACAAATATAAACAAACCAGCAACTAAGACAGTGGTCCCAGTATTAAAGGTTATTTCTCCTAGATGTCTCCAGAGGTCATGCTGTCTATCACACACACACAAATATACACACAGCCTAAGAAACTATTATCCTTTAAAAATTTCACCTCCCTTGTTTTTTTGCACAGTCTGATCTGACACTTTATTAATCACAAACAAAATAATCTTCACCTAGTTTTTCTCCTGCCTCTCTCCTCTCTCTCTGATCGAAGCAGTCAGAATGAGAGGACTGAAGAGAGAAAAAGAAACTCTGATCTTTATCCTGTGATATAGAGGGTAATTGCCATTTCAAGGTCTGTCTTAATAGGGCTGAAAGTTCTCATTTTTGCCTAGACTATAAATTTTCCATTCCATTCAGCAACATAAACAGGGTTTACCCCACTCCTCAATTGCATGAAGCTTATGATGGCACAAGCCAAAGTGAATTTTCCAGGTGTCCCCATATTTGTGGGGCTCTCAGGGATGAGACTGGCCAGGATTCCCCCTGTGGAAGCCTCACTCCCCAAGCCCATGTCTTTGGTATCCTGCCTACTATGCCGAATGTAAGGGGGAAAAATCATTCTCCCTTAATTACGCCTGTTGTAGGGTGGCATACCCACTTGAGAGAATACTGAGATACCAAAGAAAGAGAGGCTCACACCAGCTTGGTTATTAATAGGTTTTATTAGGGTTAATTAAGTCGATTGGGAGAGTTTACTCACAAGAGGCCGTCATCCTGAGCAGCATCAGGACAAAGTTAACATCTTGGATCCCCAAACAAACCCTAGACCAGGTCAGGTATCATGTAGAAACACAAAGAAGACATTGTACCAGGATGACCCAGGGTCGTGTGCAAGTTTTCCCATGGGATAGTTGGAGCTTCTTTTGCCATTTACATTTATTCAAGGTAGTTTATATTTTTCTGTGGAGTCATAGGACATTCCTCTTTGGTTTCCACCATACAGTGGTATCGTTGAGTCAAAGGGTACAAACAGTTTAATAGCTTTTGGGGCATAGTTCCAGATTGCTTTCTAGAATAGCTGGACAGATCTAATGTCATCTTTTGGACAAGCTGAACAAGTCATCTTTTCTCTGAATCCTTTGATAGCTACTTTCCAAAAACCCAGACTGCATCTCAGAATGTACATGGATTTCTTCTTTACTATCACAGATTCCAAAATGAAGTAGATATTTCCCCAAATAGCCAAGGTACTCCATTTCTATTTTAGTCACTAGTTGCTTTTTTTGGGAGAGTACAAGTTCTTTCACTACTTCCTCCGCATCTGAAGAGTGAAATTACCATCAAGACAACCCAAGAAATTATTTGTTCTGCTTTTGGCAGAAAGACTGAGCACTTCAAATATCTGAGCAATTGGAGAGTTGAGGACCATGCCACTATTTTGTATTCATCTCTTTTATCTGTCCTTGTTTCCATTTTCTTGGGGGGGGGTGCTGTGGGAGTCCAAACATGTGACTGCATCAGTGTGGAGAATTCTCAGTGTGGAAATTCCCTCCACCCAACCAGATCAACAGCTTGGCAACTCTATAACTTATAGTCTTAAAAAATTACCTGGGGCACTGAGAAGAGTAAGTGACTCCTAGTTATATAGCTGGTATCTGCTATATACCTACATCTTCCTGACTCTTAAGACTAGCACTCTATCCTTTATGCTGACATCTTCTATGGGAGAGTTATTTGACATTTTTGGCCCTCCACCTGGGCATCTTTGGCTCAAGTGCTGCCTTAGGTATGGTGCCATCTCCAGTTGTCCTGATCTATATCTTGCCACTGGACCCAGATGGCTTCCAAGGAGAGAGTGAGGCTGGTAACTTGCACTGCCCTGCCTCAGTTAAATGCAGTTCACTTGCATGTCATGGCATCATCTTCCTGATGTCATGGTCCTCTTTGAGAATGAAGGACAAAGCACACAGCCTCAGGTATAGGTGATGCAATTTGGTGGTGAAATAGAGTTCTGAATATGGATTCAGGAAGCTTGGTTTTGAATTCTGCCCCAGAGACCAGCTGTGTGACCCTGAGTAAGGAGTCTCTTCTCCATGCCACGGTTTCTTTATCTGCAAAAGAGAAAATAACACACCTCACAAAGTTGTTGGAGGAATCAAATAAAGTATCTTTAAAGTGCTCTGAAAACCTCAAAGTGCCATACAAATGCTGGCTATTATTAGTTATAGCATAGCTTGTCACCATATTAATTTTCCCTCAAGGGAATTTAATAACTGAGTTGTTGACCAGGTGGTGTTCTGCTTGAACCACCAGTCCAACAAGCTAGTCCATTTCTGTTGCTTACATGAATGTCTTCCTAAAGGCTGCAGTATTCCTGCTTGCCTCCAGGTGGTGGCCAGCCTGCAAATGGCCGAACTGTCTTCCCACTGATCTGGCAATGCTTGGTAGGCAGAGCTAAGCAATTTGAACCAACCTCTGTTGGCTGAATCTGAAATTAGTCTGGGGAATGAAATGAAATAAGTCTGTAATTAGCTCATAACCACCTCCTCACCCTTACCACATCTTCTAGGCTCCCGCCTTTCTGATCAGGCTCCTGTGTACCCAGCACTCAGATACTTACCCTGCTGTGATCTCATAATTTATTGTTCATAAATAGAAAGGAAATAGATGAAGCTTCTCATATGAAAGCATCCACTTCTAGCCATTTCCTAACCTGCCTCCTGGTCAGCCGAGATCTTTGGATACAGCAGAGAGGATACGTACCTGAGACTGTTAGGGAAGGAAGAGGAGTTATTCAAACTCTTTCTTAGGATCACAGACTAGAAAAAGGGAGGGGGTAAGAGATGATGAGGGAAATAATCTTTTCAACTTTCCAGCCCTATGGGATTCACAGTAGTTGGCCATTTTAGCAGCTTGGGGTCTTCTCTCCTTGAGGACACTAATAGTCTCACTCTCAGGATCAGGACTTTTCCCACAATGCTAGTGGGGGTTATCTCCACACTTCCCAATGTGTCACCAATCACTACTTCCCTAGCCCTCATGGCAGGCAGAAAGTCCATGTCCAAGGGAAGCTGAATGAAGAGGAGCCTACCCCTAGTCCTGCAATGTACAGATTTCATCCTCCTTCTTCCCATGAGGGAGCTAGCCCCTGTTGCAAATGAGAATCCACCATGATCTCCACTGGAGGGAATGAGATGTAATCCCTCTCTCCTATACCAAGGTCACCCCAAATCTCCCAGTCTTGCTGGCAAGCATTACTCCAGAAATAGGTGTCAACAATCCAAAGAGATGAGGAAGAGCAGAGCTGCAGGCTGCACATACATCTTCTATAAACATCTAAATTAGTCAATGTGCTGGTCTCACACTATTGCATAGCCCTTGGCTGAAGAGAGGCCATAGGGAGCCCTTATTCTGAGGGAAAAGAGAACCCAAGCCACAGAGAGCCCCCAGTTTGACGAGGGAGCTGTTCTTACCGTCAGGGGGGCTCTGTCTGCTAGGGAGCTGAACCTTTAGCAAAGCTCCAGTCTAGGGCAGGATGAACCAACAATAGAATAGAAACCAAAGCAAGACAGGAAGAAAGAACTGGGTTGCTGTTAGACTGAGGGACAGGGATTGGCAACAGTCTAAGAGAAAGCGTATGTAGACAGAGGCATAGTAGAAAAATCCTTAACCACTGCATTTCTTCTGTACCACCTCAGACCAACTGAGAGGAGAAGCAAGCAGGAAAGAACGTTGTGTCCCTGGCTGCCATCCCTAGGCTGCGTGTTGCTTTAATGTTTGTCTGTCTGTGTGCTGTTTCATTCTGCTGTTCAAACACAGTCATTTGCATTGATTATTGTCTTCCTCTTTTGAGTTGGGGAGCTCAAGATTGACGATAAAGAAAGCCAACCCATTGGGCTCGACTTGAGTACGAGAATAAAAGTCATTTTAGTAATTTCTCAGTGCAAGGTTGCAAGGAGATGAGCCTGTAAATTGTGTGGGAGTTGATGATATTGGCTCTGAGTGGCATTACTCCTGGCTTAGCCTAGCACCCTGCACACTTCCTGCTTCATACACATCAGGAAAATGAGGCTCAGAGGTAGGCAATGCCTTGCCAGGCTCATTCTTGTATTCCATGCGGCCTTTTTGCAATCTTTCTGCCATCTAGGAGGTGATAAAGGGCTAAGGCAGGAATAATTCATCCACCTTCATTCTCTCTGTGGTCAGGTCAGTTGAGCTTGGCCGATTCATTTCAGTTTTGCTTTGGTCAAAGTCCTAGGCACTCCTTTCTTTTGCCAGACTATAAACTCCACCCTCTCCAAATAAGGGAAGAATGAGCTTTTCAAAGTCAGAAGGAAGGACACTGGACACTGGGGTAGCCTTGGGTGTCTCATCTCAGCTCTTAAAAGGGTTAGATCTCCAGCCAGTTTCATGGGGCTGCTGGCATTGCTGGGCATGGAGGCCTGGAGTCTGGGCAGTTTTATTTGCTATGTCCTTCCTTCCCTCTTCCTCCTCCTGGTTGTGCTATTGAGGCTGTATGGAGAGGGGTCAAACATCTGGACTCTCCAGGGTTGCCCTGTAGACTTAACTGGGAAGACTGCTGTAGTGACCGGAGCCAACTCAGGTGAGAACTCCCTCTCACCACCTAGGGAATCCATTCCTCTCATTCCTTCCCTTTCCAGGCTCCCTATCTCTCTTCCAAACAATGTTCTCATTCCTCCCCACTGCACCCTGTCCCCCATCATATATACAGAACCACCCATCACCGTCCTAGGGTTTCCATTCCTTCCATACTTCCATCTGGGTAAAAGTCCCCATTTCCCCCTCTTTCCAGGGTCCTTATCTTTCCCACCACTGTCCTCCTCTAAGAGCTTCATCTTTCCTTCACCTTACCATCACCACTCCCCATAAACCAGTCTAGAGTGTCTATCTTTCCCTTCCCTCATTCATCGGTTTACCCATTAAAACAACCATTTGTTAATTTTCCACTCCATGCAGAAGTTGTTGTTCATTCATTTCAGTCATGTCCAATTCTTGGTAATCCCATTTGGGGTCTCCTTAGAAAGATACTGGAGTGGTTCGCCATGTCCTTTTCCAGATCATTTGGCAGATGTGGAAAGTGAGACAAACAGGGTTCAGTGACTTGCTCAGGGTCACACAGTAAAGTGTCTGAGGCCAGATTTGAGCTCAGGAAGATGGGTCTTCCTGACTCTCAGCCCTATGCTCTGTTCACTGTGCCACCTAGCTGACACACAAATATATGTATAGGTTTACATATATATACATACACACATATACATATATTCTTTAGACAGGTACAAAATAAAGTGTTATTTGAGGTAAAATAGGGAACACCAGAGAAGACTTCATGGAAGAAGTAGTATTTAACTTGAACTTCTGAAGTGAGTTCAATAAGGGGGGAAGGGGAGGCAGGTTACTCCACAAATAAGGAAGAATGTGAGCAAAGATTCAAAACAAAGAAGACAACAGGACACAGTACAACTAGGTAGCATCATAGTACACAGACCACTGGACCTAGAGTCCAGAAGACTTGAGTTCAAAGAAAGTTCAAAACTTTCTAGAACTGTGACCCTGAAGAGGTCATTGAACTGCCTCCGTTTTTTGTTTGTTTGTTTGTTTGTTTGTTTGGGGTTTTTTGGCATTTCTTTTTTTTTCTTTTTAAATTTTATTAACTTATTTTGATTTATCAGTAATCACTTCCATATGCTTTTGAGTTTAAAATTTTTCTCCCCCTTCCTCCCCACCACCCTCCCCCAAAGGCACATAATCGGGTACAGGCTGTACATTTACATTTCTATTAAACATATTTTCACATTAGTGATGTTGTAAGTAAAAATTAAAACCAATAGGAGGAACCATCAGAAGGAGGAAACAAAACTCAACAGAAGAGGGAAAAAAATAGCAATTCAACTTCCATAGCTCTTTCTTTGGATGGGAATAGCATTTTCCATCACAAGGTCTCTGGAGATGTCTTAGATCCTTCTATTGCTGGGAAGGGTTAAGTTTATCCATATTAGTCATCTCACAACGTGGCTGCTATTTTGTACAATGTTCTCCTGGTTCTGCTCACCTCACTCAGCATCAGACCATAGAAGTCTTTCCAGTTTTTTCTGAGGTCAGCCTGTTCATCATTCCTTATAGCACAATAGTATTCCATTACATTCATATACCACAACTTGCTCAGCCATTCCCCAATTGATGGGCGTCCTCTCAATTTCCAATTCTTTGCCACCACAAAAAGAGCTGCTATGAATATTTTTGTACATGTGGATCCTTTTCCTGTTTGTATGATCTCTTTGGGATATAGCCCTAGAAGTGCTATTGCTGGGTCAAAGGGTATGCACATTTTTATAGCCCTTTGGGCATAGTTCCAAACTGTTCTCCAAAATGGTTGGGTCATTTCACAGCTCCACCAACAATACAGAGGGCACTGACCCAAGTTTCTTGTATTGGGAGCCTAGGTCTTGGTCACTGGCTTTGTGTGCTGGGGCCTCTTATGCTGACAATTGTAGGCTGTAGGGTTCTGGCAGCTTACCTGGTGTTGGCCTGGAATCAGCAAGGCTGGAACTTTCAGGCAATTCCAGGTTCCCTGCTTTTCCTTTCCTTTAGCTTTCTTTAGCTCCTTTTAGATGGGTGCTGCAGGGTGTTTATCTGCCTGGGGCCCCTTGAAGTGCTGCCTCCCTTAGATCTGCTGAGGCACTGGGAGGCTCCTTTGCTGTAGAATGCTGAGGCACCTGGTGGTTTTCTGAGCTGGTTTCCACCGGTTCCCCCACCCTCACTGAGGCACTCAGAGGTCCAGGTGTTGATGTTTGCCTGCTCTACCACCTGGGGTTCAGAATCTCCTCCTGGTTGGCAGTTGGAGGCTTCAGGATTCTAACAGCTTACCTGGTATTGGGCTAGAATCAACAAGACTGGAACTTTAGGGTGACTCTAGGTTGCTTTCTTCAGCTTCTTTCAGATGAATGCTTCAGGATGTTTATCCGCCTGGGGCCCTTTGTAGTGCTGCTTCCCTTATTTTTGCTGAGGCACTGGGAGACCTGTTTGCTGTAGAATGCCAGGGCACCAGGATGTCCTCCTGGTGTGCTAAAGTGCGGCTTTCTGCTAGCTGGCTGGGGCACCTCCCATTCCATACTGCTCCCCTTCCACCAGGGTAAGAGGGACTTTCCCCTTTAATCCCTCAAGCTACCTGGGCTACTGCACTGCTGCTCCCCATCTTTCTTCTGGTTCAGCTGTTCCAGGGTTTTTCCTGGGGTGATATTTTCCAGGTTTTCAGAGGTTGATAGGTGAGGGTGAGAGCGACCACCTTTTTACTCCGCCATCTTGGCTCCTGGAAGCAGAAGTCCTGAACTGCCTTAGTTTCATCAACTTCAAGAAGAGGGTTGTTGTGAGGATCAAATGAGATAATATTTGTAAAGGGCTTTGCTAACTTTAAAATGAACGGGTAGCTATTTCTATTATTGTTTATCATAGGGGCAAAGAGGTACCCAGTTTTTTTCTTGTTTTGGGGTTTTTTTTTTAGGCAATTAGGATTAAGTGAGTTGCCCAGGGTCCCACAGCTAGTAAGTGTCAAGTGTTCGGTCTGAGGCCGGATTTGAACTCAGGTCCTCCTGACTTCAGGGCCAGTGCTCTGTCAACTGCACCACCTAGCTGCCCCAAGAGGCACCCAGTTTTGATGGAGCATTGAGTACATGAAGAGAAACTACATGAAATAAAACTGGAAAAATAGAATAGGGCTAAATTTTAGAGGGCCTTGAATGCCAGGCCAAGGAATTTGAATTCTACTCAGGAGGGACACTGAAAATTTTTGGCAGTGAGGAACGTGATAAGAAAGATTGTTAAGGCTGCTTTTGAAGAATAGATCAGAGGTGGGAGACAGCAGAGGCAAGAGGCCCTAAACTATTGCACCAATCCAAGAACTGGTAGGGATGGCAGTGAGAATCTCTCCTATCACTATCACTCTCATTTCTTTTCCCATTTTTCCCCCTCTACCACTCTTATTGCTTTCTTTAATTCTTCCAGGAATTCTTATTGGGCTTGGGTCCAATTAGTATTTTTTTTTAAGGCAATTGGGTTAAGTGACTTGCCCAGGGTCACACAGCTAATAAGTGTCAAGTGTTTGGTCTGAGGCCGAATTTGAACTCAGGTCCTCCTGACTTCAGGGCCGGTGCTCTACCCACTGTGCCACAAGCTGCCCCTTCCTGTCACTATCTCAACCTTCACCATTAGATTGTAAACTGCACAGGAGCAGCAACTAGCTCTGACCTAAATTTTATCCCTCTTCCAGTGCTCAGCATAGGGCTCTGCATACTATAGGTGCCCAATTAATGTTCGTTGTATTGTTAAATTTGAGGTAAGGGAGAAACCACAAAGTCAGTTCTAGCTTCTTCCCCTCACCATCCTTGTTCCCCTCCAACTTCTAATCCCAGTGTGTCTCCTGTGGCCCAGGTATAGGGAAGGCTGTGTCCTGTGAGCTGGCCCGACGTGGGGCTCGTGTGGTCCTTGCCTGCCGGAGGCTGCCTGAGGGACAAAGAGCACTTGCAGACATCCAGAAAGCCACTGGGAGCAGAGAGTTATTGCTTCAGGAGCTGGACCTCAGCTCTATGGCCTCCATCCAGAGCTTTTCCCAGAAGCTTCTTCAAGAGGAACCCCACATCCACCTGCTGGTCAACAATGCTGGGGTCTCCGGTATATTCCCCCACATTCCGGGTCTAGAGATTGCCCACAGTAGAAATTTTTCCAAACCCTAAGGCAACTACCCACCCTAACCCTTTCCCCTCCTAAGTAGCCATACTTCAAAATTGCTGTTGCATCTGACGCCCTGGTCTGGTCTGGTACTCATAGGCTCCATCCAAGTTCCCCAACACACATCCTTTTCACCTTCTCCCATATTATTCAGCTTGGAGGTTCTGTGATGCCTCTAGGGTCTTTGTATTTTTGTTTTCTTCCAGGGCTGCCCTACAAGACTCTTACCTCAGACGGCCTGGAATTGACTTTCATGACCAACTACCTTGGGCACTTTCTGCTCACAAACCTGTTACTGAGTAAGGAAAAAGTGCACCCTTCCCCCGTTCTCTTCTCTCCTCCCAGACCTTTATTCTCTGAACAAAGCCAGGCCTCAGAAACCCATAGAATCTCAGTGTTGGAAGGGACCTCAGAGCCAGCACTTCTTTTTTTTTTTAAATTTATTGTTTTGGTTTTTGGTGAGGCAGTCAGGGTTAAGTGACTTGCCTAGGGTCACATAGCTAGTAAGTGTCATGCGTCTGAGACTGGATTTGAACTCAGATCCTTTTGACTCTGAGGCCAGAGTTCTATCCACTGCACCACCCAGCTGCCCCAGAGTCAGCGCTTCTTAAACCCCATATGGAGTCATGACCCAGTTTAAGAAGCATTGAAGGGGTAAGGTTTAACTAACCCTAACTTACTAATTTAGTAAACCGTTACCTAAATAGGAATCTCTCTTACATAATGCCTATCTAATCTGTCCTTGAGCTCCGGTACTAGGAGACTCACTACCACCAAGAAGCCCATTCCACTTGGACAGCTCTGATTATTAGAAAGGTATTGAAAGAAAATGTGCTGGGGGCAGCTAGGTGGCGCAGTGGATAGAGCACCGGCCTTGAAGTCAGGAAGACCTGAGTTCAAATTCAGCCTCAGACACATAGCACTTACTAGCTGTGTGACCCTGGGCAAGTCACTTAATCCCAATTGCCTTAAAAAAAAAAAAGGAAATGTGCCTCCCTGTTATGTTCTCCTCCTGTTCTTAGTGCTATTCTCTGGGTCCAACCAGAACAAACCTAATCCTTCATCCTTGTGGCAAGTTTTCAGATACTTAAAGAGTGTGATCATACCCTGTTATGTTTTCTCTTCTCTAGACTAAGTTCTGAACTAAGTTCCTCTGTTCTTTCGAGCAGTCTTCAATATGGCCTATTCTCCAGCTTCCTTACCATTCCATTTGTCACCTGTATACTTTCCATCTTGTCCATCCCCTTCTTAATACATGGCTTCTGTGATTGTTTCCTCTAAGGCTCTCACTTCATCTATAATGTCATTTTGAATTCTTTCTTCATTCCTTCCAGGAATTCTAATAGATCTTACAGGGAAACTGTCACTTGTACCTGTTGTGGAATTATTTTCTTGGTCTGTTTTTTTTATGGATTTGTATTTCTTTATGATTTGTATATTCTTTTGTTTACTCATTTTTCCAGCTTTACTTCCTTAATTTGGCTTTTGCGTCAGGGCTAGGCTTTTCACACTTCTGAAAAGAATGGTGGGGTCTTGTTTGGTCCTGACGGGTATTATCTGGGGTCTTGCCAGTTATCTGTAGTTACTGAACTTTCTGTTCTTCAAGCACCTTAGGAGGGAGGTCTTTGGCAAACAAGCTGCAAACTTCAGTGCCCTAGGGCAAGAGGACAGTGATCTGACCCGAGGTGGCATCTGAACACTACCCTACTGGGCTGAGCTTTGCAGGATCCTGATGTCAGTCCAGGTTCACAGGGATACAAATGCGTGTTCCAGGTTTCCATGACTTGCCCCTTTTCCACATAGTAGAATGCTGTGGCTAGATTCTTTTCCTAGTGCCTTCTGGCTGACTCTTTGTGTGGACCTGGGAAGGAAGAGATATACTTGGTAGAATTGCGTCTTAGGTTTCTTGATTATTACTTGGTCTTGTGCTCTTATTTCACCCTTGCTAGAATTGGGAGTGCTAGATTGTTTTGCTCCTGATCGCTCTGCCATCTTAGCTGTTACATCAGTTCTTTTTTTTAAAATAATATTTTGTTTATTTTCCCAATTTTATGTAAAAATAATTTTCCATATTCATTTTTTAAAATTTTGAGTTCCAAATTCTCTCCCTCCCTTCCTCCCCTGTTCCCTCACTGAGCTGGTAAACAGTTTTCTTTTGGGTAAATAGTATTTTATTTTTTCCAATTACACGTAAAGATAGTTTTCAACATTCATTTTTTATTAATTTATTTTTAGTTTTCAACACTCACTTCCATATACTTTTGAGTTTTAAATTTTTCTCCCCCTCCCTCCCTGCCTCCCTCCCTAAGATGGCATGTAATCTGATATAGTCTCTACGTGTACATTTCTGTTAAACATATTTTCACATTGGTCATTCAACATTTATTTTTTATAAGATTTTGAGTTTCAAATTTTTTCTCCCTCTCTACCTCCCTTCCCCCCTCCCAAAGTAGCAAACAATTTTATATAGGTTATACATGTGCAGTCATGTAAACGTATTTCCCCATTGTGGTTGTGGTTTATCCTTCATTCTTGGAGAAGACAGTGACATCAGGGAGATGATGACCTGACTCCCAAGTGAATTGGATTTAAGTGAGGGAGAGCTGTGCAAAATCATCAGCCTCACTTTCTCCTCCAGAATCATCTGGGTCTAGTGGCCAGATAGATATAGATCAAAATGACTGGAGGTGGCCCGGGATGCAGTGGGAGACTTTGGCCATTTTAAGCTAATGTCTTTTCGAGTTCTCACTTTAAATGGGGCAATACCCATTCAGTGAATAGGCTTCTTTAAGAAGTGAGTCAAGGGATGGCCCCTTTACTCAAAAAAAAAAAAATTCAACAGGGAGGGAAAGACTCTCAAGGTTGCTGACCAAAAGAAAAACAATTACTATTCACGTTCACCCTAAGCCAGGAGGGTCACCCTCCCCCCCCAAAAAAAACCATTAAGTGGTGGATGGGCAGAGACCTGCTGTTGTCCAATCCATGAGATCCAAAGTGAGTTGGGTTTAAGGCATGGTGTTTAAGAAAGAAATTTAGCCAGTAGACCCCAAGTTAACTAGGTAGGTTTCAGCCATCAAAATTTACCTTCCTTTGCACAGAACACCCTCAGGTAAGGGGAAGAGAGGGGAGGGGTGACAGAACAAAAGGGAAAGCCACAAAAAAGAAAAGTGAAAATAGTATGCTTCAATGTGTATTCAGACTCCATAGTTCTTTCTCTGGATGTGGATAGCATTTTCCATCATGAACCTTTTGGAATTGTCTGGGATTATTATATTGCTGAGAAGAGCTAAGTCAATCATAGTTGATCATTGCACAGTGTTGTTATTACTGTATACAATGTTCTCCTGGTTCTGCTCACTGAACTCAGCACCGGATGATGTAAGTCTTTTCTGAAATCTGCCTGCTCATAATTTCTTATAGAACAACAGCATTCCATTACATTCATATACCACAACGTGTTCTGCCATTCCTCCACTGATGGGCGTTCCCTCAGTTTCCAATTCTTTGCCACCACAAAAAGATCTGCTAAAAATATTTTTGTACGTGTACATCCTTTTCCCTTTTTAATGATCTCTTTGTGATATAGACCTAGTAGTGGTACTGCTGGATCAAAGGGTATACACAGTTTGATCGCCCTTTGGGCATAGTTCCAATGGTTGGGTCAGTTCACAATGCATTAGTGTCCCAATTTTCCCACATCTCCAACAATTATCATTTTCCTTTTCTGCCATATTAGCCAGTCTGATAGGTGTGAAGTGGTACCTCAGAGTTGTTTTAATTTGGTTTTTTGTTTTTGTTTTGTTTTGTTTTGTTTGTTTGTTTTTGTTTTTTGTTTTTAGGCAATTAGAGTTAAGTGACTTGCCCAGGGTCACATAGCTAGTAAGTGTCAAGTGTTTGGTCTGAGGCCAGATTTGAAATTTGAACTCAGGTCCTCCTGACTTCAGGGCTGGTGCTCTATCCACTGCGCCACCTAGCTGCCCCAGAGTTGTTTTATTTTGATTAATTAATTAATTAAATTTAATTTCTCTAATCAATAGTGAGTTAGAGCATTTTTCACATAACTAGAGATAGCTTTCATTTCTTCATCTGAAACTGCCCGTTCATATCCTTTGACTATTATCAATTGTGGAATGGCTTGTCTTCTTATAAATTTGACTCAGTTCTCTATATATTTGAGAAATGAGGCCTTTATCAGAAACACTTGCTATAAAGGTATTTCCAACATTTCTGTTTTCTTCCTAATCTTGGTTTTGCTCGTTTTGTTTGTGCAAAAACTTTTTCATTTAATGTAATCAAAATTATCCATTTTGCATTTCATAATGTTCTCTATCTCGTGTTTGGTCATAAATTCTTCCCTTCTCCATAAATCTGAGAAGTAAACTATTCCTTGCCCTCCTAGTTTGCTTATGGTATCAGCCTTCATGTCTAAATCACGTATCCATTTCGACCTTATCTTGGTATAGGGTGTGAGAAGTTGATCTGTGCCTAGTTTCTGCCATACTCTTTTCCAGTTTTCCCAGCAGATTTTGTCAAACAGTGAGTTCTTATCCCAGAAGCTGGAATCTTTGGGTTTATCAATCAGTAGATTACTTTAATCATTTACTACTGTGTCTTGTGTACCTAATCTATTCCATTGATCCACCACTCTATTTTTTAGCCAGGACCAAATAGTTTTGATGATTATTGCTTTACAATATAGTTTTGGTACAGCTGGTCCATCTTCCTTTGCATTTTTTTTTCATCAGTTCCCTTGATATGCTTGACCCTTTGTTCTTCCAAATTAATTTTGTTATTTTTTTCTAGTTCTATAAAAATTTTTTGGTAGTTTGACTGGTATGGCACTGAATAAGTAAATTAATTTAGATAAAATTGTTATTTTTATTATATTAGCTCAGCCTACTCATGAGAAATTGATATTTTTCCAGTTGTATAGATATGACTTTATTTGTGTGAAAAGTGTTTTGTAATTGTGTTCATATAGTTTGTGGATTTCTCTTGGCAAGTAGACTCCCAAACATTTTATATTGTCTACAGTTATTTTAAATAGAATTTCTCTTTCTACCTCTTCTTCCTAAACTATGTTGGTTAATATATAGAAATGCTAATGATTTATGTGGGTTTATTTTATACCCTACAATTCTATAAGTGTTTGGTAGAATTCACTTGTAAACTCATCTGGCCCTAGAGATTTTTTTCTTAGGGAGTTCATGATGGTTTGTTCAATTTCTTTTTCTAAAATGGGGTTATTTAAATATTTTATTGTTTCTTCTGTTAATCTGGGTAATTTATATTTTTATAAATATTCATCCATTTCACTTAGATTGTCAGATTTATTGGCATACAGTTGGGCAAAATAGCTTCTAGTTACTGCTTTAATTTCCTCTTCATTGGTGGTGAATTCACTCTTTTCATTTTTGATACTGGTAAGCAGTTTGATATAGGTTATACATGTACAATCATGCAAAACATTTCCATATTAGTCATGTTGTAAAAGAAAACACAGATCAAACAAAAGTGAAAAAAGTAATATGAAAAAAGTATGTTTTGATCTGCATTCAAATTTCTTCTATGGATGTGGATAGCATTTTTCACCGTGAGTCCTTTGAAATTATCTTGGATCATTGTAATGCTGAGAACAGCTAAGTTATTCATATGTTATTATCATACAATATTGCTATTACTGTGTACAAAGTTCTCCTGGTTCTGCTCACTTCACTTTGCATTAGTTCATATATGTCTTTCCAGGTTTTTCTGAAATCATCCTGCTTGTTATTTCTTATAGCACAATAGTATTCCATCACATTAATATACCACAGCTTGTTCAGCCATTATTCATCCCCTCAATTTCCAATTCTTTGCCAGCACAAAAAGAACTGCTATAAATATTTTTGTACAAATAGGTCCCTTCCTCTCCCTGCTTTTTTATCTCTCTGGGACACAGACCTGGTAGTGGTATTGCTGGGTAAAAAGGTATGTATACATGGTTTTATAACCCTTTGGACATAATTCCAAATTGCTCTCTAAAGTGGTTGGATCAGTTTACAACTCCACCCATGGTGCAATTTTCCCACATCCCCTCCAACATTTGTCATTTTCCTTTTCTGTCTTGTTATCCAATCTGTTTGGTGTGAAATGGTACATCAGAGTTGTTTTAATGTTCATTTCTCTAATTCATAGTAATGAGAGCATTTTATATGACATAGATAGCTTTGATTTCTTCTTCTGAAAACTGCCTATTCATATCCTTTGGCCATTTTCAATCAATTCTTAATCCATTTAATTATAATATCATCTGGCCTGTTATTCTCTACCTTCTCCTCAAGTATATCATGAATAAATTTTTCCAATGCCTGTACAGTATGGCTTTTGGAGGCAGAGATATCCAATGGAAGGGATAGTGGATTTGAAGTTAAAGGACCAAGATTGGAATCCTAGCTCTGGGTCCTATCTGTAAAATGAAAGGGTTGGACTCCATGGCCCAGAATGTCCCTTCCAGCTCCAACTTAGGCTCCTATGATCTTTGATCTAACAGTTGATCTACCAGTCTACTAACTGTATCAGAAGAAGGGACTGAGGTTAATTGAGCACAGCCTAGTTAAGTCATATCACCTCTTAGTGATCAATGATTTTCCCCTTCAACATGCTCACAAACTGTCCATCTAATGATATATTCTGAAATTCTGTCAGGAATCAAAGTCAAACTTATCAACGTATACTTCGAAGAATCTTTTCTCTTCCTGTTCTTGAAAATTGAGACTTGCTTTCTTGTCTTATTTTTCAGTTTTGTTTGTTTGGCTTTTTTTCAGAGATCTCTAACAACAGCTCACCAACTGCATTCATCAATTTTTTCTGTGTTCTCAGTTATAATTCATTAAGACCTGATGTGTTTTGAATTTACCAAGAATTTCTAAGTCTTCCAAATCCAGTGGCCTTTCATGATACTACACTGTCTGTATCAATCATTCATCTAGGTAGAGAAAGCCATCATTCATTTAGGTAGCAAAAACTGCAGTTAAAGAAATATTGAGTATATCTGCCCTCCTTTTTGTCATCATGCATAAAATGTGGTCACACTCATGATCCCTAGGAATAGGGCCAATTACCATTGGGCTTCTGGCTTTGGTTTCTAGTTTCTGGACCCTTTTGTTGACTGAAAAAACAAATGGGAAACCACAAATAGTTCAGAGAGCCAGAGGATAGCACAGAGAACAGAGCAACCAACTGGAGGGAGACACCCAGACAGGACAGACTAGATTCCCTGGAGAAGAGCTTGTACATGAACACAACTTACCAGAATATGGGGACCCAAAGCCTACATAAGTGAAGCCTTTATTGTGAGCATGGTGGTCCAAAAGCCCCTGATCAAGGTGGGACCTCTGGGGGACAAATATTGCCTTAAATTTTCATTGTTTTAGGCACAAGCTACTGAATGTGTTTGTCAGATTATATAAAACCTGTCCTATATTTGACATTGTGTTAGCTAAATTTCACATTCAGTCATTTTCGTTTATGGAGCAAGCTACACAAAATGCACCGTGGGGCAAGCAGCATAAAGCATATCCTCAAATCATCTTTTTAAGACATTGTAGTTAGGGGATAAAAAAGATTATGGGACGTAGTCCCCATGAGCAGAAGCCTGAAGATACCTGGAGACAACTGTTGGGGAGACTGCCAGGTTGGTGGGAGTGGGGATGGAGCAGGACAGGGCAAGATAGGGAAAAGCTCACTTAGGGTGTGAGTTCTAGGGGGTTGGAGGGGAAAAAGAGGGGTATCCAGTAGCTTCCTGGCTTAACTATTCTTGCTAACTATGTGCTAAATTCATTTGTCTCTGCAAAAGCTGTGTAAATGATGTCAGACACCCCACTCTCCCCACCCATGTTAGTGCTCTGGAGTAGACGCTAAATTTCCCACCCCCAGTTAGGGCTCTGAAGTAACCTGAATGCTTGTATGCAAGTTGAAGGTCTTTTTCTATGAGGCCGAGAAGTAAGCCAAATGCTCATGTTCTCAGAGCAGATCTCAAGCCGGGGCAAAATAAGCCCCAAAGAGAGATATTTAGTGAAAAGATTGCATGCCACTTGTATAAACCAGGAGCTATGTCTTGAAGTTCCAACAACTTCATTTAAAGATGGGGTAACCACCTGTCCCAAAACCCACTGGTGTGGGATTCTCTCTTCATTGACAAAGCTGAAGGCTCTACCCTGCTCAAAAGTTAAAAGCTGCAATCCCCTTTGAGTCAAGTGACAGTCCCCTTTGGGGACTCATCAGGCTTTGAGCCTTGTTCTTCAAGCATTAAGTCACTTCTAGTGCTCCTGGTTCCAGCGTCAAGAGAGAAGATGGAAGATGGCAATCCCATTTCAGGTTGCTGGGGAAACAACTCTGGGAAGATGAGAGGAGTGGGCAGTCTCATCATGTCCCTGTATCCAGCTTGCTACTCTAGAGATTTGGGGGAGTTTCCCCTTGGGTGAGATCCAAGACCCTTTCTCCTGGTTGAGCTGAGTTATCTCACTCCCAATGGGAGAGCTCCTTTACTCTGTATTGTCTGGTATATAGCTTTCTATGTATACCTTCTCTAATGTCTGTTTTGCCATTGATTTGGATAAATGAGTTTCTTTGCCATTTGCCCCATTTTCCTCATGAAGCTGGTATTAGCTGGGAGATAGGTCAAGCCTTGGATATAGAGCTCGGGATCCCCTTCCCCCTCCAAATAATAAAGCAATCACAGGTTAGATAGAACCCAATCATATGCCCCAAACAAACAATATTTAAGGGAGCAGATAGATATCATTCTAGCCCAGTACCCATTCTCTCTGTGATGATAGTAGAGTGGCCTCTGGCCCCAACCTCCTGCTTCCCTTCCTGGCAGGAATGGGGAAGGGGGGGGAAAGGCTAGAGATGTCTCTTCTGCCTCCCTTCAAGCCACACACAAGGGCAATATCTTTCCCAGCAGGTAAAGCCTCCCTGCACATGTGGGGCTCACCACTATTTGCCCTCTCTCTGTCCTTATAGTGGTAAACATCAGGGTTGGCCTTTAAACTCAGATCCTCTAAGTCTAAGTTCTGTGCTCTTTCTAGAGATGGTTCTCCAGTCTGAAGGAGACATGACCTCCATTCAAGAAGCTGCTGTTGTTACTCCTAGGGCGGATGGTAGATGGTGGGAGGCATTAAGGGTTTCTTGGATGAGAATATCTGAGTGAAGAGGCAGTGTTAAAAGGTGGGAAGAGAACTGAATTTTGAATCAGGAAATCTGGGTTCAAGTCTCAGCTCTTACACTGATTAACTTACTGACTGTAGAACCCTGAGCAAGTCACTTTCCATCTCTGGAGTGTTGGGGTAAGGAGAGTTCTTCTTTTATTTCAGAGGGCCTACTCGGGGCAGGCTCAGCCCGAGTGGTGAATGTGAGCTCTTTTCGACACAAGTATGGATTTGTGAATGAACAGCACCTGGTAGGGGCTGGGGACCCCCTTCCCGAACACCAGAATTATGACTGTTCCAAGCTGCTATTGATCCTTTTCACTAAGGAGCTTGCCCAGAGACTTCAAGGGACAGGTAACCATGCCTTTACCCTTATACCACCTCTAGAGTTTTGTCTACCATCCACCCCTTCATCCCACAGCCCCTCTATACCTCCTCAACTATAGTCCCAACATCTCTCCTGGCTTCTCCCTCTTACATTACCCCTACAGTCCTGTCCACTTCACTTCTAAATGGTCTTTTGATACCTCCTCAATCTTATCTTCTACCATCTTTCTTTGCTGCACTCCTGTACTAACCCACAATTCCCTCCATTTCCAATATTCTCCTCTCCTACCACAGGCTTCCACATCTGCCTATGTTACTATGTCATCAACATGTCCCCTAGCTCTGTTCTCCAGAATGTACCCACATCATACATATGTATAGTGTGTAGTAAGGGAAAACTGGAAGAAAGAAAACCACTGGTACTATTTTCTACATTTCCCAAACTCCAGCACCACCCCCGCCAAAGCTATTCTATTCAATATAATTCAACTCAGCAAATATTTCAGTTACTAGTATGTACGGACCTCTGTGCCAGGAGTTGAGAAATACAAAGCTGAGATAAGTCACTGTGCCTGTCCTCATGGAGTTAATAGTCTGGCGGAAGGAAGAGACACAAACGCAATAGCAACAGTATACAACAATACATACTAAATGTATTACAGGGATAAAAAGTGAGCTCCAAGAGGGTAATAATTTCACATCACAGAATACCTATTGTCAGGTCCAGAACCATTGTATGGTACCTGAGAAAGCCTAAAATGAGTCTGGGGCAAGTAAACTAGAGTGGACTAGCCTGAAATGGGTCTGGGGCAAGTAGGCCAAAATATACCCTCAAATCGACTTTGCAATTTACAGTGTAAAAATAATACAAGTAATTGAGACAAATTTACTTGCTTGAGAGGAAGAATTCATTACTACAGTGGCTTTTAAGCTGTCGAAGGCATCCATTCCTCAAAATTTTGTGCTCTTTAAATTTCAGTACCTCAGTGCAAAGCCCAAGTAGCCCTGCCCTAGTTACAGGTGTAGTTATTTTTACTTCATTAATTTAACAAATATTTCTAGAAATACTTATCAAGTTTTCAACAATAATAGCAATAAAAATGTAAGATTTGCACAGTGCTTCACACAATACCTCATTTGACCCACGTGGAAGGGCATTGTACTGAACATGGGGAAACAGAAATAAACACTGACACAGTTACTTATCACAGTAACAACAACAACTATTAGTAATGGGAGGTTCCTCAGCCCCAGATCCCCTTTACTAATGAAATCACAAAAACAACCACTATCCTCCTCTCTATGTTTATGTTTGTTGTGGTTTGGTTGTTCCAGTTGTGTCTGCCTGTTTATGACCGCATTTGGGATTTTCTTGGCAAAGATACTACAGTGGTTTGCCATTTTGCTCTCCAGCTCATTTTACAGATGAGGAAACCAAGGCACACAGGATTAACTGACTTGCCCAGGATCACACAGCTAGTAAATGTCTGAGGCTAGATTTGAACCCAGGAAGATGAGTCATATCAACTCTAGGCCTGGCACCTTATCCACTGTGCCACCTAGCTGCCATATTCATGTTAGTTACCTGTATATCTTAGATGTCAGAATCTTATCAGAGATATCTGGCATGAAGATTTTTTTCTCCTATCAACCACTCCCCTTCTTTGTCCTAGATAAATTAATTTTCATGTAAAAACTTCAATTTTACATGTTAAATGATCTATTTTATCTTTTGTGATTGAGCTTAGCTGTTGTTTGGTTAAAAATTCTTGCCCTAGCTATATCCACAAAAGATGTTTGATCTTGTTTTCTCACTTTTTTTTATGACATGACCTTTAATACTCAGGTCCTGTGAAGGTACTCCATTCCAAGAATAAGTAATGGTGTGATTGACGGGCCAGAGATAAAGGGAGGGCCATCTCACTCATCCTCTAAAAGTACCTCCATGGCCCATTCTTCCCACACTCCAACACCTCCTTATATATTCCTCCATTCAGCTGAATGTGACATGGCTCTTGCCCTCATGAAACTCACACTCTAGTAAGGATTGTCTTAAGGAAGAGAGATGAAACCTGTTCTTAAGTGCAGAGGTCAGAACTAGGAACTATGGGTAGAAGTTTCTGGGAAGCAGATTCGGGTTTAATGTAAAGAAAACTTCCTAATGATCAGAGCAGTCTAAAAGTGGGATGAACTACCTCTGAGGTTGTCAGCTGCCTGTCAATGGGGATCTTTTTTTTTTCTTTTTCTATTTTTAGGCAATTTGGGTTAAGTGAGTTGCCCAGGGTCACACAGCTAGTAAGTGTCAAGTGTTTGGTCTGAGGCTGGATTTGAACTCAGGTCCTCCTGACTTCAGGGCTGGTGCTCTATCCACTGCACCACCTAGCTGCCCCCCCAATGGGGATTTTTATGCAATGACTGGGTGATCATCTGGTGATATTGTGGTGGGGATTCTTATGTATGAACCTTGAGCTCCAGTTTCATGGTGTGTTGTGGGGTCATCTCAAAGAATTCAGAGTCAGACCACTTCTAATCCAGGTATAGGCATTTATTGAGGATTGATGCCCCTCAGGAGGGAGCTAGGTTCCAAAGAGGAATCAGTAACTTAGTAAGACAACGCAGGCAAATTTATGGCATAATGATGCTGATTACACAACAGAAATTATGAATATTAAAAAGTCAGGGGGGATTTGTTAAGGAATTAGGTAATGGGGAGGAGTCCTTTCTATGGTTTGGTGGTCAAACATCCTAGTCATGCTGTTTTCTGATTTTCTGGTCCTGCCTGGTCAAGATGATGGATAGTTAGGTATTGTGGTCCTGTCCTGGGCTAAACGGATGCTGTGCTTGTAGTTGAGTATGAGGACACACCTGTTCAAATATGAGAATTGGGTCTAGGGGCAGTGGCTAGCTAGGGGCAATGACTGTACTGAGTCTGGGGGCAGCTTTGTTAGGATTCTGTCACCTCCATTGTGCCTCTAATGCTCTGGATCTGCCTCTCTAGGTGCTGGATAGGATGTTTCCTCCTGGGGGAGGCGCTCTGCTGCTAGACCCCAAGATCAATGGGGTGAGGGAAGGGGAAAGGGAGAAAAATCACTTCCTTATATCCCTCCCCCAAAAGGTGAAGAGCTAGCTTCCTCCTTGAGTGGCTGGCTTACTTCTGCTGTCTCCAGAACTAAGGCCAACAAGGGCATGAACTGTTTTCCTCCTTGTCCAATGGGATTGCTCCTTTCCAACTCAGAGAGACTGTCATGCTTCTTAACGGGTAACAGGTTAAAAGGCTGTTAATGTCTTACTGACACATTAAAACCTGAGACCTGTGACTACATCAAATGGATGGGGGAGAGGAGTGGGTAAATCTTTCCCTTTTCCCCTGAAATTCTCTGATTCTGGGAAAGCACAGACACAGAAAAGTCCCCAGAAAGTCCAAAGTGTGTATGTAAGAGGAGGCCAGAGTGCTATGAGTTCAGGTTAAAGAAAGGTTCCTTTCAGCTGGAAAAGATTAAGGAAAACTTCCCAGGGGGTTTGTCACTCTGGAGGATGGTTGTTAAACTGCCCAAAGGTGGAGATGAGGGGAGAGGGAATTCCAGGTACAGGGAACAGCATGAGAAAAGGCAGGGCAGTTAGGACACGTGAGGGATCTATTTTGACTAGAGTCAGTTTGGGCTGGAAGGAAAATGAGATAAGACTTGAAAAGTAGGTTTGAACTGAATTGTAGAAAGTTCTGAGCACAAGGGAAAGAAGTGGGGCTTTCTTTGATAGGGAGCTCCCAACCTCCATATTGTAACACTTTCTTACATCCATCCCCTGTCACCTGGAGACCCACATTTCACCCCCTGTACTTCAGGTGTGACAGTGAATTCAGTGGATCCAGGGATTGTAAAGACGGAAATTATGAAGAATCATACCTGGTTATATCGCAGTATCTTCTGGCTCTTGAGTGTCTTCTTAAAGGTGAGGAGATGCTGGAAGGTGCATTCTGTTCGGTGTCCCCCATGTCCTCGTCAGGGGTTTAGGAGGTGGCAGTCTCTGTATATCCCCTAGCATTGCCCCTCTCCCTTAGATCCCAGAGCAAGGTATATAGCCTCTGAAGAATCATAACTCATATTTAGATAATAATTTCCTCTTTTATAACATGTAAGCATCTGTCTCACAACAACATTTCATGATAAGTGTGTTATTATCCCTGTTTATTTTATAGGCGGGAAAACTAAGATTGAGAGAAGGGGTAACATAGTGTGAGAGCTGAGACTAATACTCAGGATTCCCTACTCCAAGACAAGTGTAATCTTTCTACTATGGATTAGAAGGAATTATTTTCTCTCCCACCCCATACTCCCCCACCCTGATGTGTCCCTGGATCCCTTGAGCTGGGTGTGACTCTCATATCTGACCCTCCTCCCTTTGCTGTCACTCAAGACTCCTGCACAGGGTGCCGTTCCCGTCCTGTACCTGAGCTTAGCAGAAGAACTGGATGGCATTTCAGGAAAATATTTTAACTCCAAATGTAACCTGACCTTGCCTTCTGAGCTTGCCCGGGACCTTAAAGTGGCCCACAGCCTCTGGAATGCCTCAGCCAGACTGACCAACCTAGAGAAAATAACCAAGAGGGAATGACTTGGCAAAGTCCAGTGAGCCCTCCCTCCTGTTATTCCCACTCTCACTGCAGTGACTTGATTCAATTTGTGGCTTATCACTAAACTGATCAGAAGACTCTCAAAGTTGTTTTTCTGTATAATGTGATTGTGGTATATGCATTGTTCTCCTGGTTCTGCTGACTTTATCCTGCATCAGTTCAAAAAGGTCTTTCCAGTTTCTGCTGAAATTGTCCATTTCATCTTTTCTTATGGCACAATATTCCATCAATTCATATACTACAATTTGTTTAGTGAGAAAACCAAATTGATTTTATCCTGTAATTGATTGATTTTATTCTGTAATAGGCAGTGCTACACTTCATTTTCTTTGTCTTTAAGCTAATTTCATAAGTATGTAAGTTCAGAAATTGAATCTTCCCCTCTGAACGAGTTTAAAAGTTCAGCTTTCCTGTAAATCACCTTACTTAAAAGAAGTCTATTATCTTTGTTCCACCAGCTGCAGTTGCAGGATGTTGCCCTTCTTTGATAGCTGCTCTGTTACCTATATACCATGAGTTATTCTTACAGAATGCAGGTAGACTACTTCATCAATCAAAGTGGAAGGAGGGGTTGTTGCTAGCCCATATTCAAATCAACAATATTGTCCCTCATGCCTATGGTGCTACGGGCTCTGTAGTCGATCACATCATTTTCCCCATCTAGGATGCTGCTTTCTATTTCTCAGATACTCTTTCTTTTGTCTGTAAAGGCTGTCCCCTTCATCCAGGGTCTTAGCTAGCTGAGGAGGCTGAGACCCTGTTTATTGGAAAATTCTTGCTTTGTCAATAAATTGATCATTCTTGGGACTTTGTGACTCAATTTACCTTGATTTTAATCATAGCAGTTTGTGAACCACAAAGGAAATGGGAGAGGGAGCCTGGGCCTCAGAATAACCTCTTGCCAGGAGCCTCCCCAGAATGCTCAGGCAGAATTTTCAAAGGGGCCAAGGGAGAGGGGACGGAGACTTCTCCACAGGGGATCGCACCAGAGACCTGACTCCCCTGAGTCCCAACTCTTTTGAGCCAAAGTCAGCCCTCACACTGCTGAGGAAGTTGCGACTTTGTTTCTTTTGGTGTCCTATTTGTATTCAGTGTCTTATTTGTGTTTAATGTGACTATGTGGCAATAACTGGTAATAAAAGCCCCAGGGAAACCATGCCCCAAAAGATGAGCCCCGGGTGGAGGGATTTTTTTTTCTCTCCGTGGGGAAGACTCCTGGCTTAGGCTAAGGAGCTTCATATCAGTGGTACCTCTCTAGTGAAGTAAATGTGTCACAAATAACCATAGTGGGCCAGTGACTAGCAGATGGAGTGACTGGCAGATTGGTAGTGAACGGCATTTCCTAAAAGAGTTGGGGAAGCTCTGTTGCAAATGAGAATCCACCATGATCTCCACTGGAGGGAATGAGAGGTGATCCCTCACTCCTATACCAAGGTCACCCCAAATCTCCCAGTCTTGCTGGCAAGCATTACTCCAGAAATAGGTGTCAACAATCCAAAGAGATGAGGAAGAGCAGAGCTGCAGGCTGCACACACATCTTCTATAAACATCTAAATTAGTCAATGTGCTGGTCTCACACTATTGCATAGCCCTTGGCTGAAGAGAGGCCATAGGGAGCCCTTATTCTGAGGGAAAAGAGAACCCAAGCCACAGAGAGCCCCCAGTTTGACGAGGGAGCTGTTCTTACCGTCAGGGGGGCTCTGTCTGCTAGGGAGCTGAACCTTTAGCAAAGCTCCAGTCTAGGGCAGGATGAACCAACAATAGAATAGAAACCAAAGCAAGACAGGAAGAAAGAACTGGGTTGCTGTTAGACTGAGGGACAGGGATTGGCAACAGTCTAAGAGAAAGCGTATGTAGACAGAGGCATAGTAGAAAAATCCTTAACCACTGCATTTCTTCTGTACCACCTCAGACCAACTGAGAGGAGAAGCAAGCAGGAAAGAACGTTGTGTCCCTGGCTGCCATCCCTAGGCTGCGTGTTGCTTTAATGTTTGTCTGTCTGTGTGCTGTTTCATTCTGCTGTTCAAACACAGTCATTTGCATTGATTATTGTCTTCCTCTTTTGAGTTGGGGAGCTCAAGATTGACGATAAAGAAAGCCAACCCATTGGGCTCGACTTGAGTACGAGAATAAAAGTCATTTTAGTAATTTCTCAGTGCAAGGTTGCAAGGAGATGAGCCTGTAAATTGTGTGGGAGTTGATGATATTGGCTCTGAGTGGCATTACTCCTGGCTTAGCCTAGCACCCTGCACACTTCCTGCTTCATACACATCAGGAAAATGAGGCTCAGAGGTAGGCAATGCCTTGCCAGGCTCATTCTTGTATTCCATGCGGCCTTTTTGCAATCTTTCTGCCATCTAGGAGGTGATAAAGGGCTAAGGCAGGAATAATTCATCCACCTTCATTCTCTCTGTGGTCAGGTCAGTTGAGCTTGGCCGATTCATTTCAGTTTTGCTTTGGTCAAAGTCCTAGGCACTCCTTTCTTTTGCCAGACTATAAACTCCACCCTCTCCAAATAAGGGAAGAATGAGCTTTTCAAAGTCAGAAGGAAGGACACTGGACACTGGGGTAGCCTTGGGTGTCTCATCTCAGCTCTTAAAAGGGTTAGATCTCCAGCCAGTTTCATGGGGCTGCTGGCATTGCTGGGCATGGAGGCCTGGAGTCTGGGCAGTTTTATTTGCTATGTCCTTCCTTCCCTCTTCCTCCTCCTGGTTGTGCTATTGAGGCTGTATGGAGAGGGGTCAAACATCTGGACTCTCCAGGGTTGCCCTGTAGACTTAACTGGGAAGACTGCTGTAGTGACCGGAGCCAACTCAGGTGAGAACTCCCTCTCACCACCTAGGGAATCCATTCCTCTCATTCCTTCCCTTTCCAGGCTCCCTATCTCTCTTCCAAACAATGTTCTCATTCCTCCCCACTGCACCCTGTCCCCCATCATATATACAGAACCACCCATCACCGTCCTAGGGTTTCCATTCCTTCCATACTTCCATCTGGGTAAAAGTCCCCATTTCCCCCTCTTTCCAGGGTCCTTATCTTTCCCACCACTGTCCTCCTCTAAGAGCTTCATCTTTCCTTCACCTTACCATCACCACTCCCCATAAACCAGTCTAGAGTGTCTATCTTTCCCTTCCCTCATTCATCGGTTTACCCATTAAAACAACCATTTGTTAATTATCCACTCTATGCCCATTTTACCACCCATTTTAGAATACAAAAGTTCTCTGTAACTAGGGAATTCATTTTAGTAAAGGGTTAAGGCACATGCACAAATATCTAATACCCAATGATACAAAATAATAATATTTCATCACATTTATAGATTATAATTTGTTTAGCCATTCTCTGTTTGGAGGATGGCCCTTAGTTACCAAGTTTGGGTTACCACAAAAACAGCTACTATAAATATTTTGATAATTATAGATACTTTCCTCGATTTCTTTGGAGTATAGGCCTAGTATCGATATAACTCAGTCAATGGTAATGCTGATATTTTTCAGAACATGTCTCCTAGACCATCTTTGAACCTAGAGATATAGAGTTAACAGGGAGATAAGCCTGTGATCACTGGATAAATGATACGCTTGTCACCAAGTATCCCTTAGACTGTATCTATCCTAATCTGGCATCAGACAACCCCTTGCACACATCCATACCCTGCTTTCAAGAGTATGATTTGTTTATTAAATATTAACATTTTATTTTTTGTTTCCATTATTACCCAATACCCTGCTCTACCCTTTGCCTCATTGAGCCATACCTCGTAGCATGAGAAATGTGAGTAAGAGCAGCCAACACTTTGATTAGTCTTGACAGCATATTTAACATTTTATCCAGTTATTTGTTTACTTAGAGGAAGAAAATGTCACGGGGGGCAGACTGTCCAATTTTAGAGTTCTTATAAATTGGCAAATGATACAAACCAGGGCTTGATTTATTGTTGTGTGATTGTCTAGACTTAAGAAAGTGGTAATAACATATTAAACATAAAAGTGTCTTTTAAATACATTCTCAAGAGTCTGCAGTTAAAAGCTTGACCAGGCCATTCCTGAGAATGTTTCATCACCTGTTTTCTAGTAATGAGACTTGTCATTGCAAGAGAACTGTATTCAGGCCTCCCACTGCATCCTGGACCATCTCCATTCATCCTGATCTATATCTCACCACTAGACACAGAGATCTCCTCAGGATAAAGTGAGGCTGGTGACTTTGCACAGCAGGAGAGGGATGGTTTCTGGAGGCAGGCTTTAATCTCGTTCTGTTGCGTTTTGAACAAGCTCTAATAGCACAGTCTGGAATGGGCACTTGAGGAGACTTCCGCTTCCGGGAGCCAAGATGGCGGAGTGAAAAGGTAGTCGCTCTCACTCTCCCCTATCAACCTCTGAAAACCCGGAAAATATCACCCCAGAAAAAAAAACCCTGGAACACCTGAACTAGAAGAAAGATGAGGAGCAGCAGTGCAGCAGTGCGGCAGTGCAGCAGCCCAGCAAATGGGTTTCCCAGTGCCTCAGCAAAAATAAGGGAGGCAGAACTACAAGGGGCCCCAGGTGGACAAGTACCCTGCGGCATTCATCTGAAAGGAGGTGAAGAAAACAACCTAAAGGCTTCCTAAAGCCCTGGCTTTGCTGATTCCAACCCAACACCAGGTGAGCTGTAGGAGCCCTGAAGCTTCCAATTGTGAAGAAATCCTGAAGCCCAGGTGGTAGAGCAGGCAAACATCAACACCTGGACCTCCGAGTGCCTCAGTGGGGGGGGGGGACTGGTGGAAACCAGCTCAGAAAACTGCCAGGAACCTCGGCCAGTTCCCAGCATAAGAGGCACCAGTACGCAAAGCCAGTGACCAAGACCTAGGCTCCCAACACAAGAAGCTTGGGTCAGTACCCTCTGTTCCCCAGCAGGAGAGCTCAATCTCTTTAAAAGCCAGGGAATAAAGAAACACCATGAGTAAAAAGAAACGTACCATAGATTCATATTATGAGAAGAGTGAAGATCAAGACAGAAATTCTGAAGAGGACAACATTGTCAACAAACCCACATCTGCAACAGCAAAAGGGAATATGAACTAGTGTGAAGCCCAAAAAGCCTTCTTAGAAGAGCTCAAGAAGGATTTTGATAGTCAAATGAGAGAGGTAAAATAGTCCTTCAAAAATACAATTGGCCAGTTGGAAAAAAAATACAGTGAGGAAAACAAGTCCTTAAAAAACACAATTGGCCAGTTGAAGAAGGAAGTACAAAAACTAACAGAAGAAAACAATCTGTTAAAAACTAGAATTGGACAAATGGAAACTAATGTCTCTATGAGAGAGCAAGAATCAGTCAAACAGAAACAAAAAAATGAAAAAATAGATGAAAATGTAAAATACCTCATCAGTAAAACAACTGACCTGGAAAATCGACTCAGGAGAGACAATTTAAAAATTATTGGACTACCTGAAAATCATGATGAAAAAAAGAGCCTGGACAGTATCTTTCAGGAAATCATAAAGGAAAACTGCCCAGAAGTCCTAGAACCAGAAGGGAAAATAACCATAGAAAGAATCCACCATCACCATCTGAAAGAGATCCCAAATTGACAATGCCAAGAAATAGAATAGCAAAATTCCAAAATTACCAGATGAAAGAGAAGGTGCTGCAAGCAGCCAGAAAGAAAGAATTTAAATATCATGGAACCACAGTCAGGATTACACAGGACCTTGCAGCTTCTACATTAAAAGACTGCAGGGCATGGAACATGATATTCCGTAAGGCAAAGGAGCTTGGAATGCAGCCAAGGATCAATTACCCAGCAAAAATGAGCATTATTTTTCAAGGGAGGAGGTG